TCAATCTCTGCCCCATAATGAGCGGTCTGAGTGGGGGGGGGGGGGTGAGGGATGTAAAAAATAATTTTTTGATATGGGTATCAAATAAAAGCTAATTTTAATATGGTTTGACTGAAAGTCTGCATTCTTGGTCTTGATGGGTATGACTTGGTCTCAGGGGTGGGGGTAGAGGGGGGTGTAAAAAATAATTTTTTTTGATACTGGTATCAAATAATTTTAATATGGTTTGATTCAAAGTCTTTATTGTTGGTCTTGATGGGTATGACTTGGTCTCAGGGGTGGAAGTGGGGGGGGGGGAGTATAAAAATTTTTTTTTGATATAGGTATCAAATAAATGCTAATTTTAATAGGGGTTGAATGAAAGTCTTCATTCTTGGTCTTGATGGGTATGACTTGGTCTGGGGGGATATATTTTAAATTATTTATCGAAATCAATAAAATATGTTGTTGATTATATTGCTTGAAAAAAAATATTATAATATAGATGATTTGCTTATAAAGAAGTGCAATAATTTATAACTGCAATAAGAAAAATTTATAATGTCATTTTAAAATTTGTGAATTGATAGTTTCAAATATAGCCGAAATTTTGAGATTTAAAAATATTACAAATTAGATTAAGTTGCTAGCAAATAATTTTATCATTAGGCTACAATGAGTTTATAAATAGCAATCACTATATTTAACCCCAGCTTATAATTGTATTTAATAATGAAGTCTAAATGTATTTAACTTTTATTTAATACCCATGTTTATGTTCTGCGTGAATAATAATATTCATTATATCTTAGGATGCCCGCTTAGCCTGATAAAATTAATATAATCAAAAGATTTTTTAATTACTATTTATTAGATACCCATAAAAATTTACTATCTTATGGCCAGTTGAAATATAGTATGTTTAAGGCCAGAAAATCAACTTTCACCTAAACTCATCTAACTCAAAAACTATTATAGATGCTCTAATTTTTTTTAAAGATTAAGAATTGAGCTATACATTGATATTAATTTTTGGTTGATATATTACCTTTAAATGTTTTCTCAAGTTGAAGCAACTAGTTTTGTTTCATGATAAAACCTCGGCCACATATGACAGCAAAATTTATATATTGTGTTAATTTTTTTTATCGAGATTAAAATAATTTGTGAAATAAGGAAAAGGAAATTCCATTTCATCATCATTTTCAAAGGATATTCCTTTGTCGATATGATCTGTACCAAAATTATTTTCATTATCATTCTATACTGTCGACATTTAAAAAATTTTATTTTTTTGAAAATTATATTTTGCATATTTTTAAATGTAAATTTAAATTTTAAAATAAAATAAAAATAAAAGATTATGATTTTAGAATTAATTATAAAATTGTTATAATAATTTTTGCTATTTATTTAGTAACGGCTACCGTTATCTCTCTTTTTAAAAAAATGTTGCTCGCTAAAGATATCGATACTAAAAAAAATAGCTATGGAATATCGTGCTAATATAGAACACTGCATATTATATATTTCAAGTTCAGGATTGGAACCGAAAAAAGATTTAAAAAATTGTTTTATCTTCATTCGCTTTTATTTCTGTAAATTCTATCCAACTAGACATTTTGTTAACATGTTGACCCCTCCCCCCCAAACCAAGTCATACCCATCAAGGCCAATCATACCCATCAAGAACAAGAATAAAGACTTTCAATCAAACCATATTAAAATTAGCTATTTGATACCCATATCAAAAAAAATTATTTTTTACAGCCCCCCTACCCCCACCCCTGAGACCAAGTCATACCCATCAAGACCAAGAATAAAGACGTTCAGTCAAACCATATTAAGATTAGCTTTTATTTGATACCCATATCAAAAAATATTTTTTTACACCCCACCCCTACCCTCACACCTCACCCTTACACCCACACCCCACAACAAGTCATACCTGTCAAGACCAAGAATGAAGACTTTCAGTCAAACCATATTAAAATTAGCTTTTATTTGATACCCATATCAAAAAATATTTTTTTTACACCCCCCACCCCCTACCCGCACGGCTCACCCTTATGCGCGCGCCCCACAACGAGTTGTACCTATCAAGATTAAGAATGAAGACTTTCAGTCAAACCATATTCAGATTAGCTATCGATTTGATACCCATATCAAAAAAATATTTTTTTACAACCCCCCCCCCCACCCCCACATTCACTTCCTAGACTGCCTATTATGGGGCAGACATTGATCTCCAGTTGAATAGATCTTTTGATTGGCTATCGATTGATACCCATATCAAAAAAAAAATTTACATCCCCCCACCCCCCCCTAGGCCGCCCATTTTGGGGTAGAAATTGACCTTTAGTTGAATAGATCTTTTGATTAGCTATCGATTGATACCCATATCAAATAAATTATTTTTTACACCCCCCCACCCCCCAGACCGCTCATTATGGGACAGAGATTGACCTTCAGTTGAATAGATCTTTAGATTAGCTATCGATTGATACCCATATCAAAAAATATTATTTTTTATACCCCCCCCCCCACTCCCCCCCCCACCCCCTAGACCGTCTATTATGGGGCAGAGATTGACCTCCAGTTGAATAGATCTTTTGATTGGCTATCGATTGATACCCATATCAAAAAAAATTATTTTTTATACCCTCCCTCCCCCCCCTCCACCTTTACCCCTCTAGACCGCCCATGATGGGGCAGATATTGACCTCCAGTTGAATAGATCTTTTGATTAGCTATCGATTGATACCCTAGACATATCTTATATCATAAGGCCAAAAAAACAACATAGAAAATTAAAAAACGCAACGAAACTCATGGAAAACGCTTTTAAAATAAGATTCCTCTTTATCACGATTAAAACGTGATAATACCGTATAGTTCTTTTATCCTTTAAAAATTGAAATTTTAAAGGGATCCCTTTAAATCCCGTGAAGATCCCGGATAGTCATGATCCCTTTAAAAATTACGACATATATGTTAAAACAAAAAAATGTAAATATATATTTTAAAAAAGACTAAAATAAAAAACTAAATTTTATTATAAACGATGAATTACGATAGGCTATATGAAGCCGTGAATTGATAAGAAATTTGAAAGGCAAATTTCTATACCAATATTCTGGTATATATTGAAATATTCTCTAGTATCGATATTTATACAATATACATATTTATATAATATTTTATTCAAAAAATTTTTAATGTAATCTTGCAAAATTCAAATATATTGTGGATCACATTCATTTTTTTCAAATTATTTTTCTAGAGAGTGAGTCCGTGAAGACCCTATGATTACATAACCAAGATATTACAATTAAACATATTAAATATGCAAGATAAAATTATGAAATTTATTAGGATTGTAGAATATATAGATCTTGATAAATAAGATATTCTTTGTTCACCTTCATGCATGCCATGCGCAGATTAGATTTTCAAGAGGACAATATTGTTCTAATCTAATAAATTAAATGGATTAATTAAATATTTATAATTTTATTTGTATTTTTCTCAAAATTTAAAAGATATTTAGTCTAAAGTTCATATATTTATTTATCTTTTCAATTAACTTCAATCGTGGTAAGAGTGATAATGTTTTTTCTGATTGAAAAGATAGGCATTTTTATGCTTCACTTGTTATATTAATTGAAACCACTCTCCTCAAAATGTCTAAATTTTTCACTTGCTTTGACAAATTAATATGACCTTTCATGTAGTTGTTCTATACTGCAATGGATTTGACAAAAGTGCAATTTTGTCTAATATTATCCTTCATTAAAGTCAATCTAAAAAACAATACTGGTGAATTTTATTTCCTCACCAAAATAATTTTATAAACAAAGAAATGTTTATAAAGGGCTTAATATAAAATAGCTTTTTATGCCCAAACTACATACTACTCATGATGAGGACCTAATAGCAAGATTTTTACTATGTAAGAATATTATTTCTTAACATACAATTTCCCCTTTTTTGCTAATTTTGGAAAGAAATAAGAATTTAATGATCCCCCCCCCCCCCCGCGCTAGCAAAACTACTTTCACTTTGTCTTATTTACACATAACTATTAAGAAATAGAGTAATATTATAATCTGATTATTTGTTATGGGAAAGGGTTGAACTTGATTCAAAAGATAATTATAAATGGGATAAAAAAAATATCAAGAAGAAAAAATATCACTATTATGTATACATGGAAATAGCATAATTTCCGTACGCACTTTTGGCCGGGGTATAATTTCCTAAAAATATTTTTGGCTTTAGTTTTGCGCTATGTTTGAAAAAAATATTTCCAATCCGAAATTTTTGATATTCCTGTGATGAAGTAGTTTATTATACCATACTTTATATTATAAATTCAGACCCTTAACTACAGAGTGCATTTGGGAGCGGCTCCCCTCGCCCACTAAATTTTCCATCTCTAGCCAGAAATTTTGAATTATCATTTAAAAAGTTTTAATTTTACATAAAATTACGCTTCTAAAATTCAGTTATTTAAAATTATTTATATTTTACTAAAATAATTTGCTGCATGAGGCTTAATTCATATAATAAGCTCCTATTGCAAATTCTATTTTAAAAAGGATAAAACCACGCCTTTAATATTACATAAAATTACGCTTCTAAAATTCAGTTATTTAAATTATTTATATTTTACTAAAATGTAAATTGCATACATGAGGTTTAGTTCACTGCATATGCTCCTATTGCAAATTCTATTTTAAAAAGGATGAAACCAGACATTAGTGCATAAGAAAAGCAATCCCCCCCCTCATAAACTATATTGCTTTTACCCCCCCCCCCCTTATACTAAAATTGGCAGTGATAGAAGCCCTGTAGAAAAGGATAATAGTAGAAAAAATATGATCGAAATATTTATTTTTTTAAAGTGTGGTCCATAAGTGCCCCCTCCCTCAGCTAAAATTTAGTTACAGTATATTTCGTTTTATATTTTTCCATTTATTCATTTTAAAACATTTTTATTTATCAAACAAATATTCTAGGGTATGATCTAATCGAATGGTTACTAGAAAAATTTGATATAGAAGACACCGGTAAATAATTTTAATTTTTATAAAGTTTTGAGTGATTTAACTTTCTGTAAGAATAAAAAGGATGGAAGGAAAAATTATACATCCATATTCCACCATCAGAGAGAAATACAAAATTATAGTAAACACTCTATTTAGTAAATATGAGAATTAAAGTCTAAATGCTAAGTATCCTTGTTTTATTTAAAGAGTAATTTAACAAATAAGCTAAATTTACAAATATTTACAGCTATAAATAATATAAATTTGATTAAAAGAATTCTTTTTAAAAACCATTGAATTAAAAATTTTATTATAATTTTTATTTTTAGAAGCATTGCATTTAGCAAATTCGATCTGCAAATTAGGCTATATATTCCCAGTTAACGATATGAAAAATTTGACTGTCAAGGATGATAGTACACTTTACCGCTTCCAAACATCATTTTTCTGGCTTTCACATAACCTCAATAATGAAGATACGGATTACGGTGATATAACGCATTTTCCTTCCTTTCCCCCTTCCCCCTCCCAAAATTTGCAACATGAAATATGATCGCTCTTATTATTTTTTAAAAAGTGGTTAGTTTTAGTTCTAGTTCCCAATTGTGAAAAAAGGGTTCTAGGTTCCGATTCATAAATTTAATGTGGTTTCGATTGTTCTCGATTCTGGTCCCGGCTTCGAACTCTGATTCCTTGAATGTTTATTCTCATTTAATCCTATTTTTTTATCATATAATGACATATATTTAACAAATTAATTTAGCGATCTATCTAGTCAAACGTAATTTAGATAATAGCAAAGATAACGTGCCGTTAGAGCCTTATGAAGAAGTAAAGTGTTTTAAATAAAACTTTCCCGCTCTATAAATATTGTGATTTTCCTTTCATCTAAATAAGTTTACTTCAAAATTTTTGACTTAATTTTGATAATTAAAAAATAAATATAGAATAGATTATTTAAAGTAATCCAATTAATAAGTTTTTTTTAAATATAATTTTAACAGTGGTTAAGTCTAGATTAAGTTATATTTACTCTGAATTTGAAATCCTTTTCGTAATCTTTAATATATTTAGATATAACTGTAAAACAGACAGTTGTGGCTAAGGATGCTTTCATAGTATTCTCTATGATCCGTCTCTAATCATGTATCCATTAAGATATTCAAGTCAAAGTAATGAACATTTATATCATCTTTAATAAAATTGACTTTTGACGGATTATTGATGGATCGGATGTCAGTCTCCACTATGAAAACGGCCTAAGAAAAATAAATTATAGTTTTAGAGCTGACCTAGTTATTTTTTTAAAAATAAATCCGAAAACAATCAAAAGTGATTTCGAATTTTGTTTGAATATTACACATTCATAATAAGATTTGGATAAATAATTTTTTCAATGTGTGGCTTCTAAATTAAACTGTTGAGTTTTACGATAGGGACCAAAAAATAACGTACTATATTCTACCTCCAAATAGGAGTGGTATTTTAGGGAAATTTTTTTTTAAACTGAGAAATTTCTAAAAAATAGACAAGGTCCACTTGTGTTTATATTCAATATTTATTCTTATAATATTCTAGTGATCCATCTATCTGTATTTAGCTCCAAATCGAATTAGATTAGTTTATTTTAGGGAGATCTTCAATTTTTGAAATTTTCAAAAATAAATTTTAAATTCTTAATAAAAAAATAATGTTTCAATATGAAATTTTAAAATATTAATCTTTTGTATTATCAAAATGATTTATTAAAAATTTTATTAAAAAATTTAAATTTGTAATAGCAGTTTTTAAAATTATGACACCATTTTTTACAATAATAAAGCTATTAAAAAATAATGACATAGAATAATAATCAAACAATTATTTATATATTTTGTAAAACAATATTTTGTAAAACAATATTTTGTAAAACAATTATTTATATTTTTTGTAACAAAATTAGGAAAATTTAGAAAAGATCCAAATAAAATTGGGTGACAAATGGGAATTCGTGTGTCTTCAAGCTGAACAGCAAAACAAGTTGGTAAAATATAGATGATCAATGAGTAATAAAGCCGTATTGTTGTTAAGACTAATAAAACGGTGGCACTCAACCATCTAAAACATTAAATATATTTAAAACAGCATAAAATTGATAAGTTAACATTATGTTGCCCACTCGACAGCCCGTCATGGTGTATTAGTGATTAGAGGAAGAAGAATCTCGCTACACGGTTGAAACATGGAAAAATTAAAATTCCTTATATATAAAAAAACGAAATTTATAGGAGATTTCGACAACTAATGTTAGGTTGTGATTAGCCAGGTTGGAAAATTCTTGGGAATTTTTATTGCAATAACTTTCCCATAGGAATTTTGGAATAACTAGGAATTAACGGAAATTTATGGGAATTAATGATATTGCTTAAATTGTAACCAACAATTTTCAAAAATACATAAGTAATCTATTTTATACAGAATGTATTTAAGCTATTCATCATTTTTATAAGAAAAATAATTTAATTATTTTAAACGATTTTTAAATATATTTAAAAAATTGTAAATTTGGGGAATATTCTTTTTCCCTTTCAATAAATTTTCAGGAAATATGCAGGTTTAGCTAAGAATTGAAGATTTCTTTTTGAAGTTTTATAAAAGGCAATAGTTAATGGAATAAATATTAAGAGATGATCAGTTAGTTTTGAATGCTGTTTGTGGTTATGCGCTTAACAGGATTTTTAAAAATAATAAAAACGAAAGAAAAAATTAGAGAAGTAAATAAAGACTTATTTAGTAAATATGATATTCATAATGGATCCTAATTTGAATGATCATATGGATAAGAAGATAAAAGGATTTGTGAGCTATCATAGAGATATGAGTTAGTAAGATGAATAACGAAAGAGAAGACGGTTACTAAAATTTAGGCATTAGATTTAACAATTAATACATATTTTAATAAATAAAGATGGTATATAAGCACTTTCATTTGGAGAAATTTAATTGGGAATGAGTTAAATGAGAGGATTTGACAAAAGTTTTCTCTAAGAAAGTATGACCATATAAGGGGAAAACATAAGGATGTTCATAAGGTGGAAGAAAGGGGTACTATATTAATCTAGTTATTATAAGGCTCATACAAAGACTAGTAAAGAAAAAGAGGATCCCAGCGAAAGCGAAATGATAATCAGGCAGCTACTGAAAGATTTAGAATCACTAGAGATATAGTATTAACAAAACAAGATTAATAAATTAACATTTTTGTAGTTTGATAACCATTACAAACTACTGATGTATACTATGATTAGCCATTGATTGAAAGGTCCCTAGTGGAGAAAACATAGCACATTGAAAACTTAGATAAAAAGCATGTAGAAATGATAAAAGAGAGTGGTCCCAAGAAAAATGAAACAAAGTAAAGTGATGGAGCCAACATTGAATATAGAAATTTCTAAGACAATATGGAATAAAAGCTTTTACAGGAATAAATAAATGAATGGTTGTTTAATTGTCTTTAAATTTCTTATCCATTCCTGCAGTTTATAAGTTCATCTAAACATAAAGAAATATCAATTCAATTTCCTTATAAACTATTTTCCGACTCCACACCGCCCCTAGTTATATTTGATAAGGATGACACGTGATCACGCCGACCCTTTATTTCGATTATGCTTTATTATACAACTTATTGAGAAGCTATTATTTATCTTTAAGTTTATTTTTACAAATTATATTATTTAAATTTTATCATTTTTTACCTAATTTTTAAAAGTGTTTATAAATTAATAACTTAAATAAAAATTTCCAACTTTTAAAATAAATAAATTTAGGAGCTACTATGTATTTAAAAAAAATTCAATCGGGTGGGTACACAGGTATAAAATTGAATTTTATATTACCATATTTCAAATTAATTGCCTGCTTGGACAATCCCATCCAATATCAAATTATTTTTGTTCCACAACTTTATATTATAAAGAAGGGTTGAAAATTATTTTCTTTGTCCTACAATATACAAATAATTACACTGGTAATTATATTAACCTTATTTTACTATGATTTCTACATCCTTTAAAATAAGTTTTCTCAGAGTATCAAATGAAGTCAGACAACTCATTTATTTGCAAATATATTGGCTCAGATGTTAAACGCATTTCCAAAATCTCCTCAAAAACATAAAAAGGCTGATAAGTATCTTATCTAAAGCAGAAAGTAGTCATTTAAACGTGAATTTCTTTGCGTCCCAAGTCATTTATTTATCTATTAAGGCTTTACTTTAGTAGAAATAACACCCAAAAATATTACCTAACAGTAGCATCTTCGTAGTACTATGGGTAAATGCTTCATTTAAGCCGATTTGCTGCCTAAAAAATGGCGAAACCAAATCTTTATCCTAGAATTATCACTTTAGCCTCGAGCATTTTATTAAAATCTAAATTTGAAGAAATCATAAATATTAGCACATTCCTACTCTTAGCGGATTTTCTTCAATACAGTTCTGTATATTTAAGAAATTTTTAACCACTATCCAAATATATTCACGAGAGAGAAGAAATTGGAGGTAGGCGTGCCCACCCCCCCCCTCCCCCATTCCAGATACAACACTTTACAAGAATAGCTTAATAGACCTGAGTAATAACGTTCTAGTTCATGTCTAGTTACCTATTTGTTGGAGGGGGGGGGGGCTTTAACTAGTTATATTTTGAATAAGTAAATTTAGTCTGTAACCATTTACAATATATATATATAATTATTAACTGTTAATGTAATTATTATAATTTAATTTTATATATAATCTTTATTTAAACTTTTTAAATTTGCTTAATAATGAATCTCCTCCATTTTAATAATTTAATTTGATATATAAGCTTTACTTCAAAAAGGGTGTAGAACCTATAGGTATAACACGGTTCCATTCTGGTTTATAGTTTAACATTTAAAACTGCTTAGTTTTATTTGGGTTATTTTTGAGTAAGCCCAACTTTTTTTCTAAGAGATATTTATTACAGACACATAACACATTCAATCCAAAAAATTTATTTTGAGTATATCTATAAAATGATATTTAATGATTCCAATTGTCATCAATGGACAAAAATTTTTTATTTCATATGAAATGACATAAAATTTCGTTTATTATTTACGCATAAATAAGTATTACATTTTTTGCAAATAATTCTTGAATAGGCTTTTACGCAATACTTGCACCTTTGCTTAATGGTTAAGGGCATTAGATTGACCTACAGTAGAATAGACAAGGGGGTGGGGGGGGGGTTAAACCCCCCATAACTTTCGGAATTTTTTTTTATTTATATTTTTTTTTTCATTTAAAATTTTTTTTTTATATTGTGAATAATTTCATTTAAAAAACGGTTTCAATTTAGAAATAAAATAATATATACGATATCAAAAGAAATATATTTAAAAAAATAAATAATAATTTTTAATTTAAAAATTATATGAACTAAAGTATTTACCATCTCAATTCTTGTGAGATATCGGATGCTTTAAAAGCCAGCTATGAATCAAAAGATATCAACAATATCTAATGTATTGAATAAAAAAAATTGATATTGTTACAACCAACAGAGCAAGAATAATTATAATAATTGACAATCATTTAGTTAGGGAGGCAAGGCTTATCATTAAGTGCTCATAGAATATCTGCTGGCCCCTTAACATTTAAATACTCTTCTCATATGAATGGAATTTCAAGGAATTGTTGAAACTTTTATGCAATAATAATGATAACTATATAAAGCTACTTGAAAGCTCTGGATGTCACCTACCTTAGTCCAAGTATTCAAAATGAATAATAGCCATATGCAATAGGTTCATATTGAAGGATTTTTTCTACAAAAGTGAAAGCATCACCATGTTTTGGTGGAGACGACTTCGGATGTTGGTAACATAGAGCAATTATCCATAGCAGTAAGGTTTATTGATATGGAATCAGGTGATTTCAAAATGAATGAACTCTTTGTTCAGTATTTATTGACTTCACTAAATAGCATCCCTTCAAGACAGATTTAAATTTAAATCTAATGAGTGGCCAAGGATATGATGGAGCACCCTCGATGAGTGGTCACGTTAAATAGGTGCAGTCAAGAATTAGAGAGCTTTATAGCACAGGTCTATATGTTCTCTGTAGTTCACATTGCCTAAATTTGATGATATATGAGGCATGCGAATTTCAAAACATCTAGAACAGTTTACGTAAAAATATTTTAATTTAATTGAAATTTAATAGATTTTATTATGTATTATAGATATCATTTTATAATTCTAATATATTTATCAAAATTTAGAAACAATATCGTAGGTTTGTGACTTTTTCACACCACCCAAGAAGAGGCCGCTTTTTATCCGAACGTTTGATTTGATTTAAATAATCAAAAAAAAACTAAAAAGATTTTCTCCAACTAGATTTATGACAACAATCAGTAAATCATTTCATCAAATTATATAAAATTATTTTTGCAGCGCTTGAATCCCATATGTAGTAAAGAAAAAGATTTCTTAGATGCTGAAAATCTTTTGCTAGCTATTACGAAGCCACAATTTTTAATTTCAATTCAATGTGTATATTTTATATTTAATTTATGATTTTAGCAAAATTCTGCAAAAAATTGATTTGCAAAGGTATTGTTGAAATATTAACAAATATCAGAGATAATGTGGATGAAAATTTCATGAAATATACGAGAAAGTAAAGGAGATCGCTAATATGTTTTAGATTGTTAATTATTGATGCATCTACGATTGAGGATTTTTATAAAATAAATATTTTTATTTCCCTTATTGATACATTTTTATTTCGATTAAAGGAAAGATTTATTAGTCACAATTTTATATTAAAAAGCTTTTTTTCCTATGCCGGTTGAGTTTGATTATACTTGAAACGCGAGAAGATATTAAGAAAATCTCAGAGTTTTATTCTGATGATTTATCAGGATCGTATGATAAGTTATTTTGTGATATCAATGGTATAAAAATCTTGATAGAATTGAATACTCTTTGAGACCAAAAAATGCTTTGCAGATCCTTTCAGTGTGTAATTGCACTTTATATTTCCTGCCTATTTTTAATAAAAGTATTGCATTCATTTGCAATAAGAATTATTTATATTTTGATTCATTTGTGTTAATTATAATTGTTAAATTATATTTTTTTAAATACAGTACAAGAATTACTTATATTTTATTGATATATTTGTTTTAAATATAGTTATTTACAATAAATTTGTAATACAATATGTATAAAATTTCTACATTTGAAATTTATTTTATTGTATATCATTAAAATAAATACATAGTTAAATAAAGGGGTGTTATTTCTACTAAAGTATTTTAATAATAAATAAAATCTATAATGAAATTCTCTAAAATTTAATTAAAATAATTATTTTAACACTCAATAAGATATATTGAGTGATCATAAAAAATGGAAAGTTGAAGGGGGGGGGGGGGTAATTTTCTTCTTCTTTCTACACTAGATGGATTAATTTACAATTGACTAAACATTGATAAAATTTTTAGAATAATGCTTTCAACCGCTTATTAATCATAAATTTGGCCAAAATTCTGTTATTAATATTTTTTTCATTTATGCTGGTTACTATAGTGGTTAGACACTAATAAAGCACATAATATTGCCAAAATTTAAAAATAAGAATTGAAGGCAAAGGTCCTAAAAAAATTTAAACCCCCCTATGGATGAATCCTGGCTACGCCACTGATGACCTACTTTGTCATATCTTATATCCAGCGTCTATAATGGAGCCAGGAATTTATTACATAAGAATCCAATAAATGGAAAACTATTCCCATCTAATATCTGTTCGATATAACTCCACCAGCATATCGTTTCATCCACCTCATTATGAAGTACGATATCCCCATTAATACCTTAATATGATTTTATGACATTAGTAGACTTTCCATGGTATATTTTAAAATCATATATAATCCCGTAAGGGCCATATAGGGAACACTTTTATTCCCCATTTATGGGGCTTTGATTTAATGTATTGTCCTAATTTAGAGCGTCCCTTGAAGAGGATTATGAATCAATCTACAGCAAGCATCTCTTCAAATTGGATTTTTTTAAAAAAAAAATTTTTAGTTGGTATATGTAGGGTTGTATTTTAAATAATTTGTTGTATCCTTTATCCCCTATTTACCATATCTTTGTTATTATTAATATAGAAAAATTCCGGATTAAAAGGAAAGGATCGGGACATTGTTTCTGCTACTTGTGGAATAGATGTTTAACCTACCAATACTGTCGTATAGAAGGCATCTTAACTAAGCTAGTATATAAGTGTATCCCTATAAATTTGTCAATTTTATCGTAGATTTACCACAACATTGGAAGGAATAAATATTTGTTTCTGATACAAAATGCTAATTATCTGGTTGTCCATAAATTTACGAAAATAAGTTAGAGAAGTTGAATCCTGTTAAGGAATTTCCAACATAGGATAAATTCTGTATTCATGTTTCCGATGTCTTTTTTAGACCAAAGGGGATTAGCTTTTATTTTGGTTATAGAAGTATCTTCGATTATATTCTTTAATTAAAGACCTCATTCATTTGTAATATAAGATGATGTCGGCAAATCATCTGTCAGCAAAGAGATAAAAATTGTCGTGTCTTATATGTCTGAGCTAGCCTCAGATATATCACCCACTGGGATAAGTGTAGTCATAATGTATATTGACATTAGATAATCAATATAGGTTACTAATATCAAAATATAATTTAATCTCCCTCCCCATTTCTATAACCCTAAATCTAAATATCCTAAATAATTTATCTAAAATTCCATTTATTGATAAAAATATTTTAGTGCATAAGAAATGACCATTGATGCCAAATTACATTATGTTCAATTTTCAACACCTAAAATGATTAAAAAGATGATAATTTTTAAATAAAAATATTAATAAATATATATAATAAAATTATTACTTATATTTTTAGCAAGTTTTGATAACCAGAAATATAAATTAAAATTTTGGCGCGAATGGTACGAAATAATTGATTTTTTCGTGATAACATGATATTAAGCTCACTAGCCCTAAACGTCATATATTTAACAGAGTTATATAAACAACAGCAAAGCTTGAATCTCTCATGAAAAACCCATCAAACTGGGATAAAAGATAGGAAATAATATTTTTTGAACAGGCCGCAGTTACCTGTGCGCGCAAAAGGTAAAACCACTTGCGCCCATGGAAAATAAGAGGAAAGGATAAAAAGCCTAAGCCCGATTAAATAAAATTTGATTATGGAAGGGTTATATTGGCTATTTTAACTATGTTAATTTTACTTTTAATTCATTGTGAGAGCCTAGAAATAAACATATGATTAAATTAAATAAAAACATATGATTAAATTAAATAAAAACATATGAGGAAAGTAATTTTAACAACACAATTCGTATTGAATTTAATAATTCTATCATTTCAGACTCCGAATCTAAATTTAGAATGTTTCTATAGCATTACAGGTAAGTAATTGTAAGATCAATAATAATTAATGGCAAGATACAAACTAAAAAAATTGTTACAAAGATTTATACAACACTAATCTATTTGGTATTGCCATTAAAATGTCATGTAATTTGGGAATGTAACTATATGAATAAATAGTCTGGAACCTTGATCTTAATTATATTTAATTTGTTAATCGTTTTCCCTTTTATTTTATAATATTATCTTAATTGGTGTACTGTATAGGATTCTTTAAAATGTCATCATCCTTCGTTAAATCAATCTATGTTTATCCCAAAATCTGGGTACATTTTTATTTCTTCTGAATCATTTATTTTAATGGACACCTCAAATATGTATAGGCATTTTATGTAAATTATGATTATATTTATATTTCTGATATTCTATATACACAGAAACTTTCATATTTCCTTCATAGATTTAGTAAGAGACTTCAATATATTGGTGGAAATTAAACCCTTAGAAGTTGCACTTCAATTAGTTATATGATAAATATTTACAAGTTAAATTTACTTAAGGTCAATTATGTAGTCTACTGTTATAGTTCCGAGTTTTAGCAAAAAGGAAAAACCATAATCTTAAAATGAAGATGTTAATGTTTAAAATAGATGTTAGTCAAGATCATATAAAAAGAGGTATGTTACAACAGCAGAAAACTAGCTGTAGGTGGACTAATATTGTTTGCCATATGCAAAAAAATATGGGGATTATATTGGAGATTAAAAAGTAAAGATTTCTTTATTTAAAATAACATTGATAGAAAGAACTAAGAGTATTTAAATATGATTGGTAAAGTGAAATATTTGGATGAAGTTAATTTGATTGGAGTAAATGCTCTAAAAACTGACTACCACGCTACATTCGATGTTGTGAAGCTAAAATAATAATTTATTCTATCAATCCACATAACGATAGATAGGAAATAAATTGCTAACTTGGCTTGACTACTTATAACGGATGTCTATGTTCCTTTCTCTTAATTGCGATTTATATAAATATAAACCTTTAAAAAATTTAAATACAAATTTTTATGAAGATTTTTTAAAAATGTACTGTTATCTCTCTTTATTTTAATTAATTCTTTTATTTCATTTTTTTTTATATATATAATTATTTTTAATTGTAATGACCTTAGTTAGAAAACAAAAAAATGTTAAAAATTCGAGACGTTATTAAAGTTATAGTTAGGTAGTTATTAAATTTTGTATTTTTGTAAAGGAGAAAGACAGAAATTAGCATATGCATCATTATTTTTTTACAAACTTCAGGCCCGACCAACAATTTTTTGTGATTCAGGCCCGGCTATAACTTCTATTATCTAAAATTAATTATTCAATTTTAAAAGAATTTAAAATGCATTTTTTTAAAAACATACATATTTTGTTTTAAATACAATAATAGATTGAGTAAAGAAAGACGAAAAACGGATAAAATTGTATTAGATAGTCAAGAGAGAGCCTTCTGGCGAATTCACAGACCTCCAGTATATATATATTTATATTAAATCTTACTAATTTTTGTTCTGTAACCAAAGCTTACATGTTTTGTATAGATAACAGTGTCTTAACAACTCTGGTTTGGCTATTAATGACAAATTCAATTATGATCATAATTTTAATTCACTGGCCTTAAAAAGACTGCGATGTTTCTTGCTGATTTGATTATAATTCCATGATAGATATTTTAAAAAAATGTGTCAAGAAAATACTTAAAATATATGAGAAATTTGTATAATATCATATTTTTTGTTTGTAAAAAAAAAAGAAATAGTATAAATTATTTTCACATTCTATAGTTCTACTTCTATTTTTTTTTCACCTAATTTGTTAAATAAAAGGTTTCACATATTCAGGGCAGTGACTCTACTCTAGGGAGGGGGCGCGATATTGTCATCGAGGAGGGTAGTTATGACAACGCCATCGTCATTTGAATAAAATTGGAAGGTGAGGGGATAAGACTAATTTTAATTTGGTAGGAGGGGGGATAGGAGGTCACATTTAGATGAGAATAGGGGAATAAAATTTTAGAGAAAGGTAAAGTTTGGGAGGAGATAGGGGTAAAATTTACTATGGTGTAAAATCATCTTGGGTATTGTAGAAGTCCTTAATAATTGGGGTAAGGGGGTATGATGCAATACTTCATAAAATTTGAGTGGGGCAAGTAGTTATGAAGACGCTACCGTCATTAATAAAATTTCGAGGGGGGGGGGGCTTTTTTATTGCTAATTTTAATTTGATAAGAAGGGTATATGGGGACAATTTTGAAGGGATTAAAATCGTCCTTAGCTTAGGGAGATGTAAAAGTCCATACACATATCAGATAGTTTTATATTATAAATAGAACCTAATTTTGTTTGTTTTAAAAAAAGCCTAACACATTTGACCCTTTAGAAACGACTCCCATATTGAATGCTCAACCCAATAGAAATCGCAAAAAGACTGTTGACAATTTATCTTTAGAGGTTAATACTCTAATTACACATATAACTTTTTTTTAAATGGGTTGAATAAAGGTAAGAAGATACGAAAGATAACAGGAATGACTATTGACCTAAAACAAATCTTTATCATAACAAAAATATTATATAATTATTTTTTTAGAAAAAATAAAATAAATTTAAAATCCTTTTTCAAATATTATATAGATAATGGAATTAAAACAAAGCTTCACGAGATGTAGATGGAAAACATCAGATGTCATTCAAAGGTTTAATTTCTATTTTATCATAGAACCCCCCGCCCCTACTTCACCACCTCACAATCTCTAAGTTATAAAAAATATAGACAAACCTCTTTACACCTTTCAGAATGTCTTTTATTCAAATTATTTTAAATTATAACAACCTACTTCTGTTTGACATCTTCTAACTTCTTTAATAAATTAGAATATTTATATTTTAATTTTAAGGAAACCTTTAACCTATATATTATTTTACCTTTTTATTTATGCAATTTGTATATATACCTGAAAATTTGAAAGAAGGCACTAGATTTCAATAGTATAAAAATACCAACTTTTAAAATTATAAATAAAAATCGATGGAAAAATTGATTAAATAAAATGATTTACTTGATCTCATATTTTCGAAATATACTATAAAATATTTTATTATTTTAAATAGTTACATAAACAGATGGGAAAATTATTATGAATTTGATCCTTTCATAGTGAAAATGGAACCTTCTAACCCTTGGATATCCGATGATAACGCTATGTGGTGCCAAAACCCTAACATGTAAGGAATTTTATATATAAATATCCTTAGTGATTTGTTTCAAGTATATGCTAACTTAAGGTTAAAATGTTCAAATAAAAAATTTTGAAATAATAATTTTTTACAAAAACAGTTTATTTTTAATCCCATTACTACTAATATACCTAGGATACTAAACCAAATCTAATCCTTTTCTAGTTGGGCAAACATTAACTATTTATTTGGAAGCCTTTTTCCTGATTTTTCATAATCTTTGGTCGGGTTTTAATCTCGTCGCCTGATAATTAGATAATTCTATATCCACTTTTGTCAAAATAACTTTTTTATATAAATATATTTTTTATAATTACACCATTCTATTTACATTAAAAAAATTCAAAATATTTATAAAATAACTCAAATTAAATCTGATACAAGGTTAACCATTCTATTGAAAACAATAGAAATTTAATTTTTTAAATTGCTCCCCTTTAAAATTACAAAAAAGTGAAGATAGAATTAATGTTGTTAAACGGCTCGTTTTGAGCCGATTTTTAAAAACGGTTAACTCAATATTTTAACAAGAAAAATATTGCCTAAGCCTCAAGATTTCAATAATATATGTCTAGACCTTTGTTCCTTCTGTGAGCAAAATTTTCAGGCTTGGATAATATTTACATGGATGAAGTATTGAGTTCGCCGTTTTTAAAAATCGGCTCAAAACGAGCCGTTTAACAACACTAGATAGAATTTACTAATTCTCATGTGACGATCTGTAGATTTATATTTTCTACTACAAGTGCGTAGCCAGCACCCCTCAGCAGCAAAATATGTGTTTTTTATTTAATATTTCCATAAATACCTTTTCTAGAAAGCCTATTTATAAGTGTTCTTAGTGAAATGGCATAAGGAACTTAAAAGGACATCTCCTAAGAAGAAGATCCTTCTTTATCGGGCTTGATAATTTTACATTCGAATGTATCACCAAATTATCTAAATATAATTTATCTAGCTTATGCAATATCTTCAATATTACATGGAAATCGCAGAAAGCATTATTTCAGAGCTAAAAGAAATTACGGCAAATGTTGACGAGTATTTGATATAATTCTTGCTAAATTTTCAATTAGAAATTGTATTGTCAAAAAAGAAATTAAATTTGCATTTTAAATCTTCCTCCTCCTCCCTCTCAATTAAAATCCGAGAAGTTGTGGCCCCCATGTCCTACAGGCTCTGGGCCGGCCCTGATCCTTGTTGTTTTTGAAATTCAAATATTTTAATTTTGGTTTTCCAGCCCTAAATAGAAATGTGGTTAGTTTAGTTGTTTATATAGTATACATATTATTTTCACCTGAAAGAGAACCCTGAGTGAATTAATATAACGAACACAGAACCGAACCATTTCCCAAAATTGATCAGAATTTTCCGGAAAATATTATCTATAAAAAATCAGTCTAATTTTATTTGTATTTTATTAACTGTGATTTTTTATCCGGTTATATTTTTAAATATTATATCCAAGTAATTATTATTTAAAAACTTCTTTTATATCTATAAAAGCCTTTTTACCCTCACTTGACTGAAAGGTGGCTAATATATAGATAAAAATGATAATTTTATTAACTTTCAAAAATATTGTAGTAAAATTTGTTTGGATTGAATTAATCAAAATAAATACGATCAATATTGGTTGTGTTGTTAAACGGCTCGATTTGAGCCGATTTTTAAAAACGGCTAACTCAATACTTTATCTAGAAAAATTATGCAAGCCTGGAGATTTGCTCATAGAGCGCACGAAGGTTTGGCCATCTATTCGTGAAATCTTGAAGTTTTAATTTTTCTGGCTAAAATATTTAGTTAACCATTGTATAAAATCGGCTCATATCTAGTAGTTTAACAACATTAAATTTTTATATTGTATTAGCCACTCCGAGAAGCCAAATGAATGTTTAATATTTAGATGCAATAATTATTTTAATATAGATAAAGAGATGTATTGAAACGTGTTTGTTCATAAAATAGAGATAAAAATAGATATATTTGTTTCAAAATGTTTCCAACTTTTTTTGGCCAGAATTGAATACATACTCAAAAATATATTTGTCTTTGATTTAACAGATCGGATATATTTAGTATTTTAACCTATTTTATTACATTAAATATAAGTGCCTTTTTAAATTTATTTATCACACTTAAATTATATATTTAATTTTACATTTTATCAATTCCAATGAGTTTATAAATTATGTTTATTAAGTTGGAAGTAAACTAATTAGGCTATTAAGAAGTAAAAGAAGAAGAGGATACTACTAGGATAAATGCTGTAAACCAGGCGCGTACGCAGGAATTTTCTGTGGGGGAGGGGGGGGGATAATTAAATTTATTTAAGATAAAATTATTGTTATTTAAAAATATTAAGCACAAATTTAATACAACTAATAACTATTTCTAATACACAATTTTAAATTAATGTGAATTAAAAAATATTAAATATATAACCGGCATATAAAAAACTATAAAATAAATGTGAATTAATATTGGAATATAACCGGCAGCATTTGAAAAACTATAAAATAAATGTGAATTATAAAATATTAAGTGGATATAACCAGCATGTGAATCACTATAAAATAAATGACCCAAAAAAGAAATATAAATTTACTGAGCCTTAAAATTTATATATATAATATAAAAAATAAATGTTGGAAATATAAATTAATACCCAAGTTTCTTAGGAATAGGTGTATTTTGTATGTAATAACTTATAAAGTATTCATGGAAAAATATAAAACACATTAGAAAATATTATTGAGAAGCATATTATATATTATATTTATAATGTAAAATCCAATCTTCGTTGGGATCGAGCTAATTTTTCAATTATCTCATAAGTGTTTGGCGTCAAATGCCTATGAATATTAAAAAGGGCTAAACCATTCAACTTTCAGAAGTTGTACTTCTTAGTTTTTATTCTTCTTAAAGAAGAGAATGTTCTCTCATTAGTTACAATACTAGTGGGAAGAGTTGTTAATATATATAATAATTTTAATACATTGGGAAAAATCTAAAGATGTTTGAAATGATGCAAAGCATCCATGGCATTTTTTGGGACTATATCAACCGTAGTTAAGCTTTTATACCATAGTTCGCATTCAGCTAATAAGGCATCATAAGTTACTTTAATATCTTCATGATAAAAATCTGCTAAATATTTTATTTTTCTATCATCATCTGAAAAAGGTTGGGAGGGCTTTTCTGGAAGTAATATCTGCAGATTGTTAAGTGCTGTCTGATGAATTTTAAACCGTTCATTGATTTGAGTTATATAAGAGAAAGATAAAGACATTTATTTTATAATACTCTTCTACTGACCCTATATTAATGTTTGGAAGATGAGCTTGCCTTGCTGCAAAACGAGGGAGACAAATATTAAACTTGTATAGCTCTGCTTTTGACTTAACAATAACATAAAATATGAAACTCATTAGCCCTAATTTCCTTGAGTTCTAATAAAATGCTCTCCGCTATTCTCATCATCTCAATCAAGTCAATGTTATGTTTTTGAAAGATATTACATAAAATAGTTGTATAATATACATTCAAATGAGAGAAAAAAATTGGTATAAGTATTGAATCCAATAATTTGCATGCATCTGAGGAAAAATATCTTTCAGGTCATTATGATATTTCAGTAAGAGGATTAATAATTGGCTCTTCTAATTTCATAAAAGCGGTTACTACTTGATGGCGTAGACTCCATCTCGTTGGACACTTTCTCCTTGTTGGACAAGGGATTTCAGAAATAATTCTATTTACAGAATCCCCTATTGCTTTAAATTTTACAAGACCAAAAATTACTTTCATTATTATTGAAATTCAAGTTTCCTGAATCCAAATGGCCACGTTATGCTAGGCCCTGCAATCCCCAATATAGAACTCAATATTTAGTTTGATCTAACATTTATTTTCTTTCGCTATTTTAATCCTATTTTTGTCGATATGTGATGAAATGGTAATCATATTCCCACTTTGAATTAATTTGAAGAAATAATCAGTTCACAGCGTTTGTGATAATTTGTTTTTTGATGATTGACAAAGATTTCTAGAGCATCTTCGTACTTGTTGAATGGGGTCTTAGCAAGACAGTTAAGCATAACTTAATTTTTCCAGCATATCTTGGATCAAACAGGAAACATATCTTGCAATAAGCTCCATTCTAGGATAGAGTATGCTAGCCATAACCATCTAGTAAAATAGCTGTTTTGAAATTTTAACCGATTGGCATGGATATTGAAAATAGAGGGGTGGAATATAAATCTATTATTAAATAAAATATTTATCATAATTATAAGATGTTATAAATTATTTGTACTTTTTTATTTTTTGTAAGATGACTAGGATTTTTATCATCAATATGTTTAAAAAAATTTCTTTTGTCCATATAGATAAATATTACGCATTGGCGTACGCAGCGAGAGGGGGGGCAAATCCCCCCACAAAGCCAAAAAATGCAGATGCCGGATATATTTTTCAAAAATATTAATGTTTATAATAATTTATATTTGTTAATATTTATTCCTATCTCATATTAAATATATATTTAATTACATTTATTTATCACATTCTTCTATTAAGTTATTTTTATAATTAATTTCGATTTCAAGTTTTCATTGGCGTAATATTTACCTATTATTTTCAAATTTCTAGTGGAGTAATATTTATCTACCATTTTCATATTTCTAGTCAAATAATAATTTTTCTGAAACTCCTTGTCCAACAGGGAGAAAGAAAGTGCAAGCTTGTCCAACGAGATGGAGTCTCCGCCATCAAGCAGTAACAGATTTTATGGAGTTAGAAGAACCGATTATTAATGCTATTACTGAAATATCACAATGGCCTGAAAGAAATTTTTCCTTAGAAGCAAGAAAATTATTGGATTCAATGCTTATTCCAAATTTTTTTTCTCATTAGAATGTACAACTATTTTATGTATTACTTTTCAAAAACATGATGACTTGATTAAGAAGATGAGAATAGCGGAGAGCATTTTATTAGAACTCAAGGAAATTAGGGCTAATGTTGATGAAGAATTTCAATTTTATATGTTATTGTTGAGTCAAAAGGAGAGCTATACGTGTTTAATATATGTCTCACTCGATTTGCAGCAAGGCAAGCTCATCGTCAAAACATTAGTATAAGATCAGTAGAAAAGTATTATAAAACTATAATCCAAATAAATGAATGGTTTTTAATTCATCATGCAGCACTTACCAATCTGCAGATATTACTTCCACAAAAGCTTTTCCAATTTTTTTCAGATTATGATAGAAAAAAAAAATATTTGTTTGATGCCTTATTAGCTGAATAACTATGTTTAAAAGATTAACTAAGATATAGTCCAAAAAATGCTATGGATGCTTTGTATAATTTCATACACATTTTAGATTTTATTCTTAATGTATTAAAATGATTATATATATATTAGCAACTCTTCCCATTAGTAAACTAATGAGAGAACATTCTCTTTTTTAAGAAGAATAACAGAGGCCTGCAGAGATACAATTTGCAGGGCACGGCCTGGATTTTTTTTTCAAAATTTTTTTTCGGCCTTGCCCGGTTTTTTTTAAAAAGAAAAAATTTCAGGCTTGGCCCGGATTTTTTTAAATTAAATTTTTTAGGCTCGGCCCGGATATTTTAAAATAAATTATATTTATTTTTGATTTTTAAAGCTAATTTCAAATATTTGATTTTAAAATTTCCGGCCCGGCCCTGGTGTTTATTTTTAAATTGGGCCCTGCCCGGGTGTATTTAAAAAACGGTCCGGCCCGGAAACCGGGCCTGCAGTTCTCTGAAAACATACCTAAGATTTACAACTTCTGAAAGTGGATTGAATGGTTTAGATCTTTTAAATATTTATAGGCATTTGACGCCAAGCAAGGATGAGTAATTGAAAAATTAGCTCAATCCCACCGAAGATTGGAATTTACATTGTAAATATAATACAAAATACAATTATTCCTAAGAAACTTTTTGTGTATTAATATTTATATTTCCAACATTTAAATTTTTTATACTTTATATATAAATTTCAAAGGCTCATAAAATTCAAATTTCTATTTTGGGTCATTTAAGTGATTCATATGATGGTTATATTCACTTTATATTTTTTAATTCACATTTATTTTATAGTTTTTTATGTGCCCGTTTATATATATAATTTATTTATAATTCATATAATTTAAAATTGTGTATTAGAAATAGTTATTAGTCCTAATAACTTGATATTTCTTAAAAATTTATTATCCCCCCCCCAGACCAAATTCCTGCGTACGCGCCTGATATTACGCCATTAGAAATTTGAAAATAATAGATAAATATTACGCCAAGAAAAACTTTAAATCGAAATTAATTGATAAAATAACTTAGTAAATGAATGTGATAAATAAATGTAATTAAATATATATTTAAAAAGAAAGAGATAGTAATAAATATTATAAAATATAACTTAATATAAACAATAATATTTGTGAAAAACTGGCATCTGCATTTTTTGGGTTAAGGGAGGGGGGGGGGTTTGTCTACCTGCCCCCCCCCCCGCTGCGTACGCACCTGCTGTAAACAAGTGTTTATCTAAAATTATAATATATACAATATAATTATTAGCTTAACAACCAAAAGACTCCGATTGTGGTCGCTAAATTTCAAAGAACTCCTGAAAGATGAACAGGGGTTCCATTTATTCCTTGATTTCTTGAAGAAGGAATACAGTAGTGAAAATATTAGGTTCTGGCAAGCCTGTCAGGATTTTAAGAAATGTCCGAACCCTAAAAAACCGGAGGCAATGACAAAAATTTACAAGTATTTTTGTAGAAAATACATTTTAAAAATTGTTTTATTTTAGAATAAGGCTAAATTTTTATGCATATTTTATTTTTAAGGAGTAGACTTTAAACTTATTTTGTTATTTTGGTAGTTAAGATATTTTACTACCCATAGATTTAAAAAGTTTCTAATATTTATTTTTAGTGAAAACTACTTTTAGTAAAGTTTTTATTTAATAAAATTTATATAATATATAATTGAAAATTTCAAAGAGAATATTTAGCGCCGAATGCCCCTAAAGAAATTAACATAGACAGTTACTCCAGAGAACTTGTCAATAAAGGTGTTAGAGATGGTTCTAGGTAATTTTTTATTAATTTTATTCTATATCTAGGCCTAATTTTTGAGTGTTTTATTTAATTTTTGTCAAAATTGAGTTGAGTTTAGATTATTTAATTTATTTATCTTTTTATAAAAACTCTCAAAAAATTAATTTAAATAAATGTTTTATTTAGGGGTGATTAAATATTATTTAAAATAAATATTGAAGGTTAAATTCGTTTTGAATAGATACAAATATTTTTCAAAATTTTACCTTAATAACAAAATAATGTTCCATAAACAATTTTCAAAATATCAATCTTTTGTATATATTCAAGTTATTTTTAAAATTTAAAATAATTGTAGGTAATACGGATGAAACCCCAAACGTATAAGAAAGAAAAATATTAGCTCTATATAAGTTAGAAGGAGCATAAAAATGGTTTTTCTTAGTAGGTTTAGTTTTTTTAGGAGTATATAAACTAGATCCATGCTTCGTAACTGTTGTAATTTTGAAAAATAACAAACCAGGCCTGTCGACAAATTCGACTCGAGTTGCGAATTTAAGCCAGACACGGACAACTTTCTGTAGGGCTCTAATATAAACTACCTAAAAAAAATAGGCCCTATGAAAGGAACTGATCCTAAGAAAATTTTTATTAGAATTCTGTGCAATTTGAACATTGTGAACCCAAATATATAACATCTTACCTTGTTAAAATACTAAACTTTAAGTGCATCTTGCAAGTTTGAAAAGTGACAAGTAAAGTTGAAAATGATATAAGGAAAAATGCTACATAGAATCTATATAATATCTATAAATTTTAAATAAGGGGAAACATTTTTTAAAATCTTCTGTGTATTCGATTCTAAAACATGTATTATTTAGATTATTATGTTGGATTTATCAAAATTTACATATTTTTATAGTTAACTTATTTTAAGGCTTTGAATTTATCTTTTACTTTAGACAAATATCAAGCGGAATTAAGTTTTTTGAAAAATAGAGGCAGCAGAATCAAACCTATTATTTCAGAACCTTAAAAAAACTTTAAAAAATGAAGATCGGGGACCCCAACGAGGATTCTACTTTCGTCAGCAGATTTCTCTCAAAATCTGTCAGTCCAATTTTTTAAGCATTCACACCTCTCTAAGTGATATGTACCTTTTTTAAATTTATTTTTAGTTTTTTTAATGTTTTACTATATAAAATATATTTTTTATACATATATGTATAATTTTTAATATATTAATTGTTTTTTTTATTAAATATATTTTTAATTTGATATTGTTCATATTTGTATTTAACTTTTAAATTGTAACCGTTTTTTAAAAAAATTTACTTAAAAAATTACAAATTATTTTAAAGCGTTTTTATAGAATGACCGTTTTTTATATTTATATTTTATTTTTTTAATCATCTTAATGTAATAAAAGTGTTTAAATATAAAATAACTAAACTAAATTATTAAAGAACCTTAAAATTGTAAGAATAACTGATATATCCAAATTTTTAAAATTGTATTTCCTTATGATGAAAAGATATCTAAAAATTAATTTAAAATATATTTTATAAAGACAAAATTGATTAAAGTGAAAATCATAGGAATCGATCAGAATACATTTATAAAAATTTATTAATTACTATACTTTTTGATTTAATTCATCTAAGACATTTATTACCATTCTTATTAATAGAATAGAAATTATATAATTTATCTGTGTCTGTCTATCTTTTAATTTTAGATACGCCTTAGATCTAGCCCAAGATCACATCTACACACTCATGAAGAAAGACAGTTACGTCAGATTTTTGCGCTCCGAAATGTACAAAAATCTAGTAGCCACTTCCCAGTCTTCAAACAAGAAAAAGTTTTTTTATAATTACATAATATTATTTAGGGGAAAAATATAGGAATTAGGCTAGGCAGACGAATGAAAATAAATTTCAAATTTGGGTATTGGAAGTCTTTGATATCAACTACTGTCATTTCATAACAGGTGCAACCGTTATGAAATGACTAGGTTAACGATAGATCATAATTTTCCAGCTTCAAAAACATTGGCCTTCATATTTTATTTGAAAATCGATATTTTAAAATAATTGGGATTACATTGGCTGATATGATATTAATACTAATAATACTAATTTCTCACTTGAAAATTCATGTTAGGAAATGACAGGAATTAAAATGAGGCTATTGTTACCGAACGCAATGTATCGGTAAATAGTCACATACTAAGATGATATTTAGCCCCATATATATTTTTTATTTTGTAGTTAACCCTACCATAAATGTGTTTTATAGAAATCAAGCAGATAAATAATATATATCTTAAAACAAATTGGAAAAATTGTGAAATTTAGCCTTTTACTTTTAAAGGAAAACCCTAGCCAAAATCAAGCCTTCGCCTATATCTAATTTATACTAACCCCTATATCCTACATAGGCATTGAATTTTATGCAAATCAACTTTAAATATCATTTCCAGAGAATGTAGTATCTGTATCCGGATATCTTTTATAAAAATTATCTGTATCTAGATAACAAATTTAAAGGTAACTGTATCTGTTTTAGTTACTTTTTAAGATATATTTTGATATACTTATATTTAAGGCTTTTTTATCTTAAAAAATAAAAATATATGAATGCAAAATTCATTTTAAATCATATGACCTTATATAATATATGGAAAATGTATAAATATTCATTAAATATATTTTTTTCTATTAACATTTAATGATATCATTTCAAATTATGAAAGGATATTTTTATTATGTAAAGTTTTTTAATGAATAAATTATAAGTTTAAGGCAAATAAATCGTTTTAAATAAGAATTTGTTCGAAAGAACGATAAAAAATAGGGGTATTGATGTTCGAATTTGAGAAAATAAAATTTGTTTACATATTTTGTGCTTTCATAATAAGAGTTCTGTTTGAAAACAACGGCGAACCCTGTATATAAATGTAATATGTATTATCTAATTTTTAGACGATGCACCTGTATCTAGCCATTTCGAAAGTATCTTTTAACAACTCTGATAATTTCAGTATGTGACTATTTACCGACAAGTATTCCGTAACAATATACTTAAAAGAACCTCAATTAAATAACTGTCAATAATAATAATATTTCTCACTTCAAAATCATTGGCGACCATATTTGATTTTAAAGTTGATAAATTAAAATAATTGGGATCAGGATACTGCGATTAATATGACTGCCATTAGTATGACGGATGCACTATTAATTTCTCCCTTCAAACACTGGAGTTCATTATTTAGATAATAACAGATGTTTTGGAATTAAAATAATCGTGATTAATACTAAGAAATTTCAAAGAACTTCAGCCACTTTCTAAGGGGAGTTAATTTTTGAAATGTAATTTATACTATAAAATTAAAAACAGGGCCGAAATTTTGAAAACTGTCAATTTACAAGAAAAGTGTTTAGAATCTAATTAGATCTTTAACGCGCATGAAAAACTGCAAATTCTCAATCGTCCTAGGAAACATTTATTTGTGCAAATTTGCGATATGAATGTAAATTTGGGAATTGCGGTTGTCTTATTATAGTAGTCAATCTATAACGTTAGGACCTAAAGACATTTTTTTACAAATCTCGGGTTAGGTAGTGTCAATAAAAAAATAAATTTAAATTATATCAAATAATTTAAACTAGTTGGGAAATCTTATTATAAATCATTTAATATTCATTTGCAGTTTATAACTTTCAATTTCCCTTTGAAATAAATTCTTAAAATATCTAAAATTATTGAAAATGATTAAATTTTAAAAATCGGCCAAACTTAAAAATAAGGAAACAAGGGTCTAGCCTTAAAAAAAGGTGTAAATTTAGGCTAAGCTTGAAAATAATGTGTGGATATCAAATCCGGGCCTAAAAATTTGACATTTAAAGATTTCTGTAAAATATATGAAATTTTCATAAATGTGGGTTATTACCACCTCCCTTGACACTAAATCAAATCATAAACATGGAATTATCAAAAAATAAAGATAAAGGTATTAAAAACGATATTTAAAAGTATGATATTAACTCATTTTGAATTTTTATTTCCACAATCTAAAATCAAATTTCATTGATTTAAGCCATTTTATATTTTTTATACAATTTGTAAAAATAACTAATTCATTTAACTTTAAAAAATTTTCGGGAATTTTTGTAAATATACTCAAATTAAAAATTAATTTTCATTGTAAAATAAACAAGGCCTGAACTTTTATTTATTATGGTTCAGTTTGGTTACTGTTCTATATGTAAAAAAATATAGTGGTTACGGTTCGGTTACGGTTCTTAAGAAAAAATTTATAAAGTTTCGGTTCGGTTGAGCTAATTGTAAAGATTTATAAAGGTCATTAAGGTTAGAATTTTTTTTTCTAAATTATTTTTATTGATGCAACACCATAGTATAATGATTTAAATTATGAATATTATTTATTAAAATATGCCATCACTTAAGTTTATATATTGTTTATTTATAAAAAATTAAATTAATTTATTTTTACTATAAAGTATCAATGAATAATATATAATAATCATAACTCATTTCTAAATATATTATTTGAACGTATAAGTAATATATTTTCTAATATAAGTGGATTCATATTTGTTCGTTGTGACAATAACACAAATTTTAGCCACAAAAATCTCTTTTAACAGATATTGTGTTGAGGGAAACGCAATTACTATAAGAGAAAGTTTATAAAATTCTGGATATTCAAATTTTTTTGATTCCCAATATATAAAAACTGACAATTTTTTAACTTAATAAAATGTAACTAACAAAAATTGGTTATTTAGATATTTTTCATACTAAATATAGGAAATAGGAATGCTCTAATACTATATGAAGCAGTTAAAAGATTGTGGATCAATTTAAGTCATTGTGAAAATTAATACATACTTCTTATGGATATTAAACAAATATTTTGATAATTTAATAATTGTAAATAACGATGCAGATATGGTAAAATATGTAATACACCACAAGGAAAAGAATGTTTAAAAATGTTAAATTATTTTAATTTGGCTGAAACCGGTTTAACACAGTCCAGTTTAACTTTTTATATAAAGGTTCTTTTTACTCCTTTAAAAAATAATTGTTTCGGTTCAGTTACGGTTCAGATATTTAAGTTTTATAACGGTTTAGCGGTTCATTCTAGTTCACTCCGGGTCCCTGAGAATAAATAGAATAGTTATAAAATATTTATGTATGTATCCTTATTTTTTCAGAATGATATTAGGTTTCAACCTAGGCCAGTTTCTACATCATTCTACTTATAACACGCCTAACAGTGCTCAAATGGCTGCTGCGGAAAAACTTAGCAATCTAGAACAAATATATCAAAGTATATATTACTTTTTTTAGTCATACAAGTATTTTGTTCTTCTAGTCAATATCCTTTTTCAAACATGCAAGTGTTTTTTTTCAATGATTAGGTCGAAAGTAGTCCCATACACTGCAAAGGGCACTATGTGTTTGAAAGAAACTTTGTGACTAAAAAAATATATACATTATTTTATAATCTCTATATTTTATTAAAATAAAATTGTGTATATATTATTATTTCTTACCACAAATTCAATCTTTCCTTTTCTTTATAATTCATTTAAACATATTTTTATAAAATAAACTGTGATCATTTTAGAATAACAGGAATAGATTATATTCTCTAACACTATTTTAAAGCAGCACCTTAAATGATAACATTTTTTTAAATGCTCGCTCTTTTTAACATATTTTATTTAAAAATTCTCTCAATAATTATAACCAATCTCTGCATCTCTTGCTCTTGCCAAGGTAGCAGCTAAAGCAATATAGATGAAGGTTGTTTTGTTTATATATTTAATTGAGTCTCCATTTTGAAAAATTTAGCTGTGTAGCTAATTGATGTTAACGATATTTATTTTTTACTGAGTTGTCTTTAGATAGTTATACAAACCTATTTTTCATCCATTTATTTTACCATTTTCAACAAAATAGGTTTCGACTTTAATCCATCTTACAATTCGCGCTTTTAGGTTCATGGTGGTACAAACCTCAAAATTCTTATATCCTAAATCTCAAGGCTTTGAACTTCCTATTATTACTCAGAATCATATATAACAATAGGGTGGATAACTTTATATTAGCATAATTTTTATCTGAGTAACTTATAATTAAGTATATACAATAATACACCATCTTGTTCACTCTGAATTGATCCTAATATAGTTTTATCAAAATTTTAAGCGGGAAGCGATTCAAGGAATTTGAAGTCACCTATGCTTACCCCGTCTAATAAATATACTTCATCATCTTTATCTTCAATGGTTCTATCTTATCTACTTATTCTTAATCTATTGCTTTATATATATAACCAGCCCATTTATTTACTCATTAGGTTATCTGTTCCTAAATGTGTAATAAACATATTATATTTGCCCAAGGATATTTATTCCTTCATTTTACGGGGAAAATAACTGGGTTTTAAATATGCTTCTGTGTTTCTCTGATATGTATGATTATTGCATCGATGAGGATAAATTTTTCTTGTAATTATTTATATTTTATAAAAATATTTACAATAACATTTTAACATTTTTTTAATTTTTAATTTCTTTCTTCTACATACTCCCTTTATAAAGTGATTATTATCTTAATATATTTTTAAAAATAAATTGTTTCTACTATGAACCTACTGCCTTTAATACAATAAATGGGCATTATATGGTGATTAAGGATGTTTGGCTTGGATCTGGATATAAATAAAAAAGGAATGTGCGAATTCATTCATTAATAATCTTTACATTTGTAACAAATTAAGTATCAAAAATTTGGTTTGTTCTTATAAATCTCCACCCTCAACCCCCCCCCCCCACCTTATATGACCTTTAAAACATAAATACTTAAAGCGAAATATGACAACAGTAAGCGAAAGTCAGGCCTGGAGGATCTACCCATAAATAAAGGGGAAATCTTTGATGCTCAATACCACCCTATTCAACACTCCTCCAGCGCTGGGGATCTTCAAGGCTCTTCGGCTACCCTTAATTCTTCTAACGCGACTAATAAAAGCCTTAAAAATATACAAAATAACTTAAAAAATTTAACAATCGACAATAGTAATGTGTATCCTACTATAGGACAAATCAATATATCGCCGGTCGTTCCACATCATATAATATATGCGGGCGGGGCTATAAACGCTATTGCGACATCTCCTGGTATAAAGGTAAAAGAAGAATCTGAAATGGGACAGAAAGATCTTAAAGAAAGACCTAAAAAGCATACCAGACATCATAAAACATCTATTGTAGCTAGCAGGGATATACCTAAACCACTAAATAATAGTGCTACTAATAATAACTATGATAATGAAAATAAACCCAAAGAGAACACCAAAGATAATCTTGGAACAGTAATAAGACAAGGAACCATTGATAAAAACGAAAGGTACTAAGTATTTTAAGAAATATTTTTGGAATTGTTTAATATGATTTTTATATACAATTTTTATTTTCACAATAGAGCTGAAAAAATCGGGGATAAGGAACAGAAAGATAATAATAATAGCAAACATCATAGGAGACTTGAGTCTAGTCCTGTTAAGCATATCCATCACAAACCAAAAGAATGGGAAGATGAAAATGCGTTAGTGATTTACAATTTTCTTAATGATTTTAGATTTGAAAAGAAATATATATATAGGTTTTGTATATTATATGACATAACTAGTACAGGTGGAGTTTCCCCTTATTTAAAATATCTGCCATATGAATTTCAATTTGTTAAAAGTAGATTATTTGAATAATTTTCTATATTAATTATAAAAATATTATTAAATATTAATATTTTGTCGCAAAATATATTTAGTAGCATAGGCGCCAACTTCACAGGAGTAATGGGGCTCTCGCCCCAATTGACAAATTTCTATTGGGGATATAAAAAAATAGATGAATTTTTATATAATGAAACAAAGAAAAAGCCATATTAATATATTATTTCTATATTGCTATGCTCTTTCGTCTCTTCTCTCGCGCTAGTCCTCCATAAAAAATAGATTAATTATATCCCATCTAAAAATGAAATAAATAATTATATTATTTCTATATTACTATGCTCTTTCGTCTCTCCTCCTCATAAAAAATAGATGAATTATTATATTTTATCTCAAATCAATGTTAGCCTCTAACATTAGCGGAGAGATATTTGGTTTATAAATGAGTCTTCGCAATGAAGAATCTAGATCAATCTATGTAAAATGTGCAGGTCATACATTAAATCTTATGATACAAGATCCATTTAATAGTTATAATTGAAAAAAATTGCGATTTTATAGTATTAGTGAAATTTATTTGTTCGAGATCCAAACTCTAAGAGATATTTCACAGTATCCAAGATGAAAATGATAGTTCAACTTCTTTAAGATCATTATGCCCTTCACGCTGATGTTTGCAAATAATATCGCTAAAATCAATAGGGAATAAAATAATCATAAAAAGTTTATTAGAAATTATAAATTTACATTTCGCAATAAGGTTCCTACAAGAGCATAATTTACACCATATTAAACTTTAAAAACTTTATTTTTCTTAAATTATTATAAAACAATATTTGGAAGAGATGCTGAAATTCTAAATTCTTCATTATTTTTCAAAATGTTAAAATATAAAATTCTGATCAAAATTCTAGGTCCAATAAGAGATGATAGTTTCGATTTGGAGAAATGTTAATTTAAAGACAAAGTGTTAAATTTAGAGGAACCCATCTTAAGCGACATATTTAAAAAAACACAAGATTCCAAGAAGGCTCGAATTTATCATACCATCATTTCGGATCAATTAATGAAATTATAGACAAATTTATTATCGTTTTAGATCATATAATTGCAAGTATAAAAAAATCGTTTTAATAAACAAATAATAGATTATTTAATTAACATATAGCAATTTGCGATCCAAAAAATTTATGGAAATTTTCAATATTCTATGGAGATGATTTTGAAATGGATCATCTAATTCCTCATAGAGATATATTTATGGACAATATACATTAAACTCTTTAGAGTACGTCATTACCGTACTTTAAAAAAACGTAATAAAAATATTATTTCTATTTTTTCAAAAAGAGTTTGTATAATTTATTAAAAACTATTGACAATTCCCGTAAGTGTTTGTTCTGCAGAACGATTATTCAGAATTAACAAAGTCTTAAATCTTATTTACGTTTTAGGATGGACCATGTCATATGCAATTTTAAATGCTAATAAAGAAGTAAAAGAACTTGATTTAAACGTGATAATGAATATTTTTATATACAAAAATGAAATTAGAGAAACACATGTTACCAATATTAACATTTATAATATTAATAGTAGCTAACCCGTCAAGAATGCCCAACCAGATGTTTCTCCTTCTTTTGATGAAGAATCAGAAATTTAACTTAAATAATGGAAAATTTAGGAACCACCTCTCATCAAAATAAAACTAAATTATTATTCATGCTTCATAAGATAAGCGATTTTTAATTCATCAATAATAAATTAAGGGAAAATAACTGATTCACCTGTCATTCTACCCGTTAGCTGCTTAAAAATGTAACAATTAAAGTTTAAATAAAATTATTGTTTTTTTTCTTTATTTTTGTAATCATAAAGAAAAGATGGAATTTTATAGAATGTGTCGTTTCATGTTTGATTCAAAATTATGTAAAAGCGAACATTCAAAATCAGATATTTTATTTATTAAATTTTAACAATTTATTATAAACCAACTAAAATAAATCTAATAGTAATTACAAAAAAAATAAAGAAATAATTAATATAAATTTTAGAACTTTAATATAAAATATCTTATGAATATAAAAAGAACAAAAAACAAATCAATGAACAATCGATCACTTCAACAATTATAAATAAAATAATGATATATAGTGCTGTTAACATTTAAAAAATCAAATGTGTTCAATCGTCGTTCACTAACAAAAATTTAATACGCTCACGTTCAACGTTAATTTTAAAAAATGGAACACGTTCAAATTCGTAAACAAACGCCTTCATTAACATATAATACTATATATTTTTTAAAGTATTTAATATAAATAAATGGCAAATGAAATACCACAATTTTAGCCAGTTTTTTGTGGAAGCCTTATCCAAGGCAATTCGAGTCCTGAAGCATCTAGTTCTATATTTTTCTAACGATTTCTTTAAATATGATAGTCTATCTCTATATCACTTCGTTTTGTGAAAGGTTTATTCAAGGCAATTGGATCTTAATACGGGATACATTATATAGTAACCATTTCAAATTAGAGTAGAATTAGACACTACTCAAAAATGAAAGTGTGTGAAAAATATTTGCAGTAAACGCAGCTAGGCAGATTATTTAAATTTTTTAATAAAAAGTTTAGCTTAACTTTTAAAAATTGAATAAGAGATTAGCGCAAGAAATGAACGTCAAAATAATGAATACGTCCAAGTTCAAAATTCATCTAAAACAAAAGGACTGCCTTTTATTATGTTTTCAAAAGAACGATTTTGATCATGTTTTGAATGTCAATTTATTTACAACACTATTTTACAATGTACAATAGTTAGAAATAAATAATTTGTAATAAATGGCTGAAGCATAATAGTAATTTCTAAAAGAAATAAATTATAATTTACTTGAAATACATAAAAGCCCAAACCTGGAGACCCGAAGCTACTGCTTTGCCCACTCTTCCAGTCAGGTCTGGATCTGATTAATTCACCGCCAAAAAGGATCAAAACGAAATATAATTTCATTTATTATTCATAAAATAAAATAAATATGGCAGCGAGAAATTTTTAAATAAAAATCTAAATCTAAACAGATGTGATTAAGCAAAATCATTTTTTTTAAAGGAGTCCAATATTGAAAGAAAATTAACTTAATTAAAAAAATTGCATCAGATAACATAGGCGGAAATATCATTGGGTAAAAAAATAATCCAATAATATTAGAAGAAAAGTAAACCAATGAAAAAGTATTACAATGTTTCATATAAAATATATTGTTATTTTGTAATTATGCATGAGGTTACATAATATAGGAAGAGCATTTGCCTTCGGGCAGGAGGCGGGTTCAAATCCGGATGTTGGCAAAAAAAGTTTCTTTTTTCGAGGGAAATTTTGATTTAAACCGAATCCGGCCCGATTTCAGCCTGGATCGCCCGGAAGGATAGGTCGAAAGTTTAACAATAGATTATATAGTCACCTTAAATTTTTTAACATTAAGATGATAGGAAAGTAGAAATAGAATTAGCAATTAGGAAAGCGACATTTATCGATAACATATTATATATAGACTAGTTGATAACCCGTCAAAAATGACGGGGAATATTCTTTTTAATGAAACAATATCTCTTAGTAGCACCCTAAATACTATCATTATTTACCAGAGCTCCTGTTAGTCAGAATTGTCAGCGATCATATTAGGAGACCAACCAGGTTCACCATGAGGGAATAGTAAAGGATAAACCATGGGGTCTAAATTTGGGCTCAATACATTAAGAATAATGAGATCGTTGTCATTAGATTTAGGATAGACTTTAATATCTCTTTTGAAAGGAGGCTCTCCATCTTCATTATTGAAAATCATAGCTACGTCATCCATAGATGGTAAATTATAACGGCGTCGATCGCTAGAACGATCTCCTTTAAAGATCATATTAATGGTTGGGAGTTTTGTATTAGAAGTAGTTGCTAATTCTAATGCAGATTGATGGACTTCACCTAATGTCTTAAAACTAAGAGCATAGGGATTAATTTGTCGTATTAACTGATCTAATTGCTTCATAATATCTTTATTACATTTACTATTTGCCGGATGGTGTATACGCTTATCTATAGCCTGTGTCGTATCTAACACGTATAGCTGGGCATAAGTAGGCAAAGCATTAGAAGGTGGGTATAAATTAGATGTGCGGTGATATATTTGGCCGTGCACTTTGAAACAATAAGGGCCACTACCTGTAAGCTCCGAAATTTTTGCGCCCATCGATGCAAAAGCTACTGCTGAATTATAAGAACGTATATTCTTCATAAAATTATTATGTAACTTATCTTGAGGGTTTGATATAAGATTTTTTAAATAAGGAGGATATGGTATTTGGGTAAGGTTAACCTTCCCTTTATGACAGCACTGTGTGAATTTACCGTCGGTCGGTCTCTCAGCTATGAAATTCATGGAAAAACAAAATTGACATATGATATTCATAGGCCCGCAAGTATGTTCAGTTATTAAGTGAATATCATTAGTATTAAAATGTGTTAAATTACTTCTATTTTTAAGAATAGATGTATAGGTGGTGGGGAAAATCTGTTTAAGCTTTAGACGAAAACGGGCAGCACATGCCCGCATCCTAGCAGTTTTAGTTGATATAACAATAGGAAAAGGTTTATTTAAATTAATACTTTGAGGTGTAGGTACTAAAGCTACTATAGGTTTGGGTTTCTTGGATTTTATATGACTTCGCACTTTACGACCACTTTCCTTAAAATAAAAATATTTTATCTAAATTATTGGAAAATAAAACTTCTTTTGTTATGTTTAATCTTTTTCTATTTCCCAAAATAGAAGTGTAAGTGGTAGGGAAGATTTGTTTAATTTTTTGATGAAAACGGCTTATGCATGCACGAATCATAGCAGTTTTAATTGATAAATCAATTGGGAGATATAAATTTGAATTAGGATTATGAGTTGTAGTTAATGAAACTAATTTAGGATTATTATATTTGGATTTTATGTGATTCCGTAATTTGCGGATACTTTCCTTTGATTGTTTGGGAGACTGTCTATTTTCCATAGTATTCTATTTATTAACGTTACAAAGAATAAAAATTAAATATTATTTTCAAATAACTGGTAACACAAAAAAATTCCTAAATCTAGAAATGAACGTTTTCGTATCTTGGTAATGTTAATTTTTTTTCTATCAACTTTCCTATCATCTTAACGTTAATTTTTTCATTTCCCTCTCTCCTAATGTTAAAATATTTTTTTTCTATCAACTTTCCTATCATCTTAATGTTAAATAAATCGAGCTATTATTATCTCGTTAATGTAAAAATTTTTTATGGCAACACTGGGATTCGAACTGCAACCTATCGTTCGGAAGAACTGAAATAAAATATATAAAAGTCATAATTCATTTAAAAATACAATCAGAATATGAAAGTCGCATAGGCCTTGGTTTTTTGATAAGGCCTGGCCATGTCTGCGAAAAAAAATTTCCCGGCCAATGTCATCTCTATTTTAATCTATCACAATTTTAAATTTTATTTTAAAATCTAAATATAAAATTAAATTTAAGACATTGTTATTAAATTACAATAGAAATAAATGGAATATAAAATTAAATTTAAGAAATTGTTATTAAATTACAATAAAAAATAAATGAAAATTATATAAAAGTTGCATGGGACTTGGTTTTTTGATCAGGCCTGGCTATGTCTGCAAAAAAAAATATCAGGCCAATGTCTATATCCCATATTTAAAATTAAAAAATTTTCAAGAATCTCTATTTTAAATTTTACCCAGATATTTATAATACCCTTAATGCTCGCGGGTTACATTGCAACAATTTTACCTCTTTTTCTCTTAAATTTTAATATTTTTATAAAATATATTAATAAAGCATATTTCGTATCATATACACCTAACTAATTAGTAATTACCCACAATAGAAATAAATGGAATATAAAATTAAATTTAAGACATTGTTATTAAATCAAAATAAAAAAAAATGAAAATTTTATGAAAGTTGCATGGGACTTGGTTTTGATCAGGCCTGGCTATGTTTGTAAAAAAAAATTTTCAGACCAATGTCTATATCCCATATTTAAAATTAAATTTTCAAGGATCTCTATTTTAAATTTTAGCCAATATGATTTCTATCACAATTTAAATTTTGATATTTCTAATACCCTTAAATACTTTTAATGTTCACGTGTTACATTGCAACAATTTTACTTCTTTTTCTCCTAAATTTTAATATTTTTATAAAATATATTAATAAAGCATATTTAGTATCATATACACCTAACTAAATAATTACCCATCAACCCCGTCATTCTGATTAAATTAAGTTAATTTTATAAAAAAAAGTTTCATATATATACAAATATATCAAAATATAATATTGAAGGGGGGGGGGGGGGATAGATGGAAAGAACGTTTGCCTTCCGAACGATAGGTCGCGAGTTCTAATCTAAAAAAATTTTTAAAAAAAAATTTTAACATTAGCGAGATAATAATAGCCCTCGATTTATTTAACATTAAGATGATAGGAAAGTTGATAGAAAAAAAAAATTTTAACATTAGGAGATAGGAAAGTGAAAAAATTAACGTTACGATGATAGGAAAGTTGATAGAAAAAAAATTAACATTACCAAGATATTAAAACGTTCATTTCTTGATTACGGCTAATATATATATAGATATTATTCACAAAATAAAAATATATTAAATATTATCTAGTCATTTATATTATAATATAAAATTATGATATACCATTTCTTTTTTTAAAAAACTAGTGCTGTAAAGTAACATCAAAAAAGTAACGTGAACGCCATTCGTTACCTTCTTCTAGAGGTAATGAGTAACGGTAACGCGTTTTTTTTGAGTAACGCAAAACGTTACTTGTTACTTTAAATTTAAAAAGAAAAAAATATTTATATTATAATATAAAATTATGATATACCATTTCTTTTTTTTAAAAAACTAGTGCTGTAAAGTAACATCAAAAAAGTAACGTCCTTATTAACGTGGTTGCCTTTTTTGAAGAAAAGGAACGCCATTTACCTTCTTCTAGAGGTAATGAGTAACGGTAACTTTTTTTTGAGTAACGCAAAACGTTACTTGTTACTTTAAATTTAAAAAGAAAAAAATATTTTATTGTACTATAAAATACATTTTTTAATATAAATAATTTAAGCCCAATTTTTTAATTCATATCAACCACCATTCCTTCATTTTTATTTTGAATTCTTGTTGTCAAGTTTTTAGTTGAAAGTAAATCTAATATTTAATCAAAATTCAAAGTAAATGTTAATAATGAATATTAATATGCTAATTTATAATTTATTTTAAGAATACTTTATCCATAGTACTTATTTCTTCAGGTGAAGATGATTTAACCCTTCTGTGGCCCCAATTTTAAACATATTTTACACCAATAAAGATAATTAAGGGTACAAAGTCTACACTTTGTAATTGTAAATTATGTCCCAACGCAAATATTTCAACCTCAATTTCCAGCAGTTCAAACTTAAAAAAGCCTATGAATTAATATATTATTATTTTAAACATTACTTTAACAATATTATATTAAATCATGGGTATTATAACATAACCATAAAAGAAGTATTCTTCATAATATTTTGAAAAGCTTAATCATGAAATTAAAATATAAGCAATTAAACACAGGCTATTTAAATTGAATTAGCCCTGGATAAAATTAGAGGTCAACAAAGGAATGCTGGAACTTATTTCCAGTTTTAGAAAAGATCTTAATAAAGAAAGAGCATAATTCATTTATCCAACACACATACCAGAATATTTTCTGATAAAGATTAATTTTTTGATGAGCAAATGAATGAAGATCCTTGTGAAGATCATCTATTAAGCTTTTTTCAAAATTAATATAATTCATTAAATATTTTTAATAATTCCCCGAATTAAATTTTTTTTTAATTAAATATAATATAACTGTCCCATCCACTGCGCCAATAACATGTTAGCACGGCGTATTGAGCAATAAGCGTTCTTGTTTGTCTGATCAAAATTTTGAAAATATATTGTTGCTAAAAATAAATAAAAGATTGTTACAAAAAGATGATATATTATATATAAAATATATTTTTTATATTTTTATTTATAATATAATTATTGAAAAATTTTTTTTATAAAATGATCTTATCTTATTATATATTCTTTTTGTATAATTTTATTTATATTATATATTGTAGGAAAAGAATAAATTTTTTTTTTGTATATAATATTTAATTTTTAAGTAACGAGTAATCCGTTACTTTTTTGAATAGTCATTTACTCGCGTTCCTTTTTTAAAAAGATAACGAGTAACGGTAATGTTCCTTTTTTCAGAGGAGTAACGGTAACGCGTTTCTTTTTTGTAGTAACGTTGACAGCACTAAAAAAACACATCTGTAAAATGACTACCATCTATACTTGGTATCATCTTCATAAAGTGGGCATAGGATTATCTAACTCGTACCTTTCATATTCAAGTTAATTAATACTCTTTAAAATAAATATTTCTAAGTAGCACAAAATAAGGTCGCCCTTTATCTTAAAAATAGCTAGCTTACCAAACACAAAACAGTAAATAAAGCTGTATTATTCCTTTTTAAACTCCACTGACCGACCTCTAGAATTATAATTTATGACGTATTCAAGGTATCCTAGCAATTAATATCTATTTTTAACATTTTTTAAACATAGAGATGGACTAGTAATGAAGCTACCTTTGAGTGTCCTAGAAAAAGAGTTATCATCTCCATCTTTTAGATCCAAAAACAAATTCAACGAAATTAACAAAGCAAAGAAAGATTTGGACCAAATTTCTCAACAAGAGTTAGAAAAGTGTAATCAAGCCCAACCAAACTCGAAAACTCCTTCGGCCATTAAAGAAGATAAAGATAAAATTTTGCGAGTTAATGTTAAAAAAAAAGATGAAGGATTAATTAATTATAGATAGAATAATTTTAGTTAAGTGTTGAATAAGTGCTAAATTGAAAATTGAACATTTGAATACGGCGGTGCTTTATTAGGGAAAAGGAAAAGAAGAAAAAGAAAATAAATAAAAGTAAACAAAAGTAGGAATTCGGGAAAGAGAGGAATTTCAATATTTTCATTTATATATATTATTTATTCAATATAACGCGAAGAACCGAGATGAAATTATTGAAATAACCTTAAAGTCTCCGAAATCGTCCCAAGATAGCCGAAAAAACATATCCAAAAATATGTCCCTGTCCTCTAATAACAAAGGTGCCATCAAAAACAAGGTATTAAATAAGTCCACTAAAGAAATTCTTCCTAATGAAAATGATATTTGTCCATGGGAGGATGAAGTAAGTTTTTTTTAAAATAATATAATAATCCTAGCGTTTATTATTTTTAACTACATTAATTATCAAATTTATTGCTAATCTTTTAATGAACATTTTATAAAGGTTTAATGGCATTTCAAGAAATAATAATTTATATTTATTTTTGTTTGATTTTGCATCTACTACGTCTAGTGTTATTTATTCTCTTATAAATTCTTATTTTTTTAATACATTTTTATTCAATTTTAATATTAATACGATAAATTATTCATTTTAGAAGTTCCAGATAATATATTCTTTCATTATTAGACTATGCCCGTTTTATATTTATACTTTTCTAAAGCCATAATTATTTAAATCTAATTGTCACTAATATATTTATTCTTTTATAAAAGTAAAAAATCATGAATAAATTTAAAATAGGGGAGGGGAGGGAGTGGGGGGTGGGGAATGGGAGGGGGGGGGGGGGGTTGAATGAAAATAGATGAAAGAGATTCCCTAAATGTGAGAAATTTCTTCGCTAAAAATGAAGATGAAAGCGCATATAATCAGGGACTGGAACAAAACTTGGAAGGAATGGAACGAGAATGAAATGTTTAGAAAGAACAAAAACTCAAAAATTTCCTTGTTCTGGTCACTGCTTATAATCTAACAAGAATAAATTAAATTATTTTAAATGTGATAAAATTTTACATTTTTAATCAATTATCAGGAAGAAGTAGTAAAAATTTTGAAGGCTCAGAAAGAGAGCAGGGAATTATCGAATATCAAAAATCTAAGCAAGGAGATGATGGAGGAGGTGTGTCCTTGGGAAGACGAAGTATATAATGCATTTTAATTTATATGATCAGTTGAAGAAAAGAATAAATATATTTATAAATCTTTTATCTTTGGTGAAGGTGCCTTTATATTTAATAATTAGTTTTAAAATTGAATATTGTTAAAATGCAATTGAATAAAATTAAAATTCTCTGTTTGTATAATTGACAGGAGGAAGTAGAAAGAATATTAACAATTGACAAGAAAAAAGTGGAAAAGTCCGTGATAAACCTTAAAGCTAGTCCTCTTCTTATTCGGAAGGAGGACGGAAACTCCAAGGAAACGGTGTCATCGCCTAGTAAAACATTTGCAAACAGAATAAAATCTCCTAGGAATAGTCTTAATGAGGTGTGCCCATGGGAAGATCAGGTTTTTATTTTTTTCTCCACTTCTTTTTCTTAAATTTGTTGGGTAATAAATCTTAAGAAATATTCCCAAAATATTAACAAAAATTAAATTTACTATAAAGAGATAAAAAATAATCCCAAAAATTTTAAGAATATTCCCGAAAATTTGACTCTTCTTAAAATACAAGATTTATTGGGGAAATTTTATTTAAACTTATGGAGAAATAACATAAGATATTTTTCATTGAAAAAAATTTTTATCTATTATTTTGTTTTCTTTTTCTTTCTTTTAATTTTTATTATTTTATTTTCTCTCCTTTTTTAAACAAAAGATTTAACAAAATAAATATTCCAAACGTCTTATATTATATAATATTCTTTCCTTCAGGGAGAAATAATTCAAGCTATGAGTCAAGATGCCAAAGATGTTGGCATCGAAGTTATACATTTGAGCAAACTTCAGGAAAATTCGAATAATAATGATGAAATATGTCCATGGGATAATGAAGTAATAACTCTCTAATTTATTCTAAGAAGTATTTAATTGGAATTCTTATTTATCCAATTTTTTCGATTTTTTTAGTCCGTAAATAAAAAAATATTTAATTAAAATTAATTTATTTTAAATATATTTAAGGATTCTAAACTTTTTCAAAACTAATCATTTTTTTATTCTTAATTTCCCATAATTATTTTTATAGGGAAATGAAATTACAATTTCTAATTTCCTCTTTCTCCTTTTTATAGGGTTAAGAAGTATAAATTTTTGAGAGAGGCGTGAAATTAGTAATAAATATATATGAGAAAACTAGAACATTAATAAGATTTTCATTTCAAATATTCTCTACTGTATTATTCGATAGTATATGAGAGACCTACAGGGTCAAAATTTTAGTCTCGACCCGGAATTTTTAATTTTATTTTAATTTTTGCTGTATTTTGTAAATTGTTTTTAAAAAAAATTAACAAATAGACAGTAAAAGAATATTAAACGTTACATTCTAAGATTTTTCACTGGTTTGATATATAATCCAAATTTATTTTTTAATGGCCCGCTCATTTTGTAAAATTAGGTTCTGTTTATTTTGGGTTGTGATTTGTTCTGACCTGCAGTTTCTGATTCTGATCATTCATATCAGCTTTTTTGAATAATGAGTTCTTGTCACCCAGGTAGATAATTTGGGTAGTAAATGCTTTGATCTAAAAATTTAAATAAAATTTGCTATTTAACCTCCTGCTGTATACTCAGTGGGTACTATACTTATTCTTATAGCAATTTTTCTAGATAAACTACAAATCTAGGAGTAAACTCTGGTTGGACCAATTAATAAAATTTTGTAAAATTAGAATAAGCCCTTTTGTCTCAAACAAAAAAAATACTCATTTTCAAAAAAAAGAATTCTAGATAGAAAATATGCATATTTCAATACATTTTTGACATAATTTAACAAGTTCAAAAGGGTAAAAAGTTAAATTAACTCTTCTTTTTTTTACCCCGCTTGTTATGTGACACGATAACAAGCGTCAATACCGCGAAATTTTTACCGCGAAATGTATTATCGCGAATGCATTATCGCGAATGTCGATTACCGCGAAAAGATATTATAGCGAATGCATTACCGCGAATGCATTATAGCAAATGTATCATAGCGAATATATTAGCGCGAATGCATTATAGCGAATGCATTACCGCGAAAATATTATAGCGAATGCATTACAGCGAATGTAATACCTCGATTGCATTATCGCGTGCATCATAGCGAATGTATTATAGCGAATATATTAGCGCCAATGCATTATAGCGAATGCATTACCGCGAAAACATTATAGCGAATGCATTACAGCGAATGTAATACCGCGAATGCATTATCGCGAATGCATCATAGCGAATGTATTATAGCGAATGTAATACCGCGAATGCATTATCGCGAATGCATCATAGCGAATGTATTATAGCGAATGTATCATAGCGAATGTATTAGAGCGAATACATTACAGCGAATGCATCATAGCGAAAACATTATAGCGAATGCATTACAGCGAATGTATTATCGCGAATGTATCATAGAAAATGTATTAGAGCGAATACATTACAGCGAATGCATCATAGCGAATGCAATATCGCGAATGCATTACAACTAACATTATCACAATGCAATAGTGATTTATATTTGACAAAATTATATTTAACCCATTTATTAAGTTCCAAAAAACCAGAGAACCAGCTTAATTGTCTATATTTATTTAAAGTAGCATTTTAAAATTATTTACCTCTAAAACAGTCATTTGTTATTTATGAAATTCGTATTTTATTAAAAAATATGTAGAATTTGGTATAATCAATTTTTTTAACGATTAGATTAAGTCGTTATTTACAAAAGACCCTATTAATAAATATTTTAATATTTTATATTTTAAGATTGATTCTAGTAAAAGTTAATCTTTGCCCCAACAAGCCCCAAACCCCAGGCTTGTAGATTATATTGGTTTATTAAGTCTCCTATAGGATAATTGTTATTATCAATAATACACCATTTGTATATAAATAATTCATAAAAAATTTCAAAATGTGATATTTTATTTTAAAAAATGTTTAAGTTTTAATGAATTTTTTAATTTTTTTTCTAATTCATTTGATTATCAACCACCAGAAAAGGTGAAAGTTAAAGGGAAAAAAATAGAATTTAAAGCTATAATAGCCAATGAATACTTATTATATCATATTTTTAAGCATAATATAATTAATTCGACCTAATTCTACTAGCCCCTAGTTACAGATAGAATTAACCCTTTCCAGCGCTAAAAAAATATGTTGATAATTTTTAAAATTTTTTAAATAAGATTAGATGAAGGGGAACATTGGATTGAGACCTCTATCTTATTAAATCTTTTGTAATCGTCAAAATTATTAATTTTATAGTTTTAAAACATAAAATCTTATCTTTTTTAAATTTAAACATTGTTAAATTTAAAAATAATAAATGCCAACTCCTGTTTCAAATATAAATCTTAAAATGATAAAAAATATATTTAATTATATATTTTGGTGGTTTCAATAGAGATGATATGTGAATTTAGTTCAAATTTAATATTTTGTAAGTTATTTTCAAATCATATTATTCTGCCTGAAAGGGAATGCCTACAATAAATATTTTTAAACATAATGATTATGAGACTTTCTGAAATGGGAAAAGAAGAAATTTTTAATTTCATATTCTGTCTATTTAATTATTTCTAAATCTCACTGTGCAAATTGGTTTATTATTCATGATACGGTTTAAAACAATTTCAACTTTAAGAGAGACAGAGGGCCACAAATCCATATTTTTATGCCGTTTGATATTATAGTGAAAAACATTTTAATTATGCTTTAATATTATTTACTTATCTTAAATTCCGTATAAAACAATTTATAAAATACAGAGAAAATATTCAAAATAACGAAATTTGAAAATTTAGGGCAGGGCTTTAAATAATCAGAGCTAAAAAATGCAGACCGAAGAACACAGGTATATTAATTTACAACATTTATATTATTTATTTTATTACTAATTATGACATTGAAATATGTAAATTCAATTTTGTCAGTACTTAGCTAAATATTAATAAAAGTATAATTTTTTTAGCGTTGATAAAGGGGTAACTACCTGAATCACGGGGAAATTTTTGATCTTTTTTTTATTTATTTATTTTTAAAAATATTTTTTATGTGGTCACTTGAATATTTATTTTTTTATATATTTTTATGTGGTCATTTGAATAATTATTATTTTAACTTATATATTTTTATGTGGTCATTTTAATAATTATTATATGGTCATTTTATTATTAAGAAAACCTCTCATTTGTATATATGTGAATATAGTTATTTTAGTAATTTGTTTTTCCTTAAAAATATATATATCTAATATTATCATTAATCATAATTAAAATTAGACATAAATTTGATATAAAAAATAAATTTTTTATTTTTATAGGCAAAATATATTTAAAAATAATTTTAAAATGGCGTAAAATTATTTATGACCCAGACAAAATGTTTTTAAGATTATTTTATCCCTTTTTTTTATTCAAGAGTGTTGTGAGAATTTATATTACAGCTACTGGCTTGTTTTTTAAGAATAGTAAAGATTCGAAAATTTTTGTCATTTTATTTTACATATTATTAAAATATTTTTATTTTTTATAGAAACAAGTTACTCAATATATCATTTAAATAATTATGATTAAAAGTTATAAAGGTTTAGATCTAGAGATATATAATAACTTCGTTTACAGGCTTGATAAAAAGGTGCCTCCTACCTACTACTATAGGTGCGTAGAGAGAGATACTCACAAGTGTATGGCCAGGCTCACATGCCGAAATAATGAAAAAATTCCAAATAAATTCGAGCACAATCATATTCCGGATATTGCTCCTGAGTCACGAAAAATTGTTAACGAAATTAAGCATATAGCGAAAACAACTATCGATACTCCCAGTATGATTATCTCGGAGATATCGGCAAATCTAGATGAATCCATCGCAATAAAGATTCCTAACTCCAGCCTTATTAAAAGGATAATACATCGTACAAGAAGCTCTCACAATCATCCACCACCGTGCCCAACTTCTTTGGCCGAATGCTTTATTTTCTAGAGTATTAAACTCTAAGAGATAATTTTTTACCAAAACTATATACTTATATATTGCATATGCGGCTATAATTTTTATTTCTACCGGACCGCTTGAAGAATTTTTATAATGCTTTATATCATTCGTACCTTCAAAAGTAACTTTTTACACTTTTACACTTTTACTATTTTCAAAAATAAAGATTAATATACAATTTTACCACACAAAAATCATCTTATATAAAAGAAAAAATCCTATTTTATAGAATAACAATTTACCCGAACAAAATTGGTAATATAAATACTTCAAAATATGATCTTAATCAAAGCGGTGCTACTGGGACTATTTTTATGGGGTTAGGTCGAACCTTTTTTTTTTGCTATTTTTTAAAAATTTGACATGCAAAAAAAGCCAAGGAGAGACCAACTAAAAGAAAAAAAAATCGAAAAATGTTATTATATGATAAATAATTGTTTGGTATACAAATAATTATATCAAGCATAACAGTCAAGACTGCTTTCAATGTCAGTTATTAGTTACATGGCTTTGCAATTTTATTGTTTTTTTATTTGCAAAGATTGTGAATGTTTTAAATGATTTTATATAACACTTTTATGTTTTAAATCATTAAATATATCCTAATAAAAAAATATATAAGCAGAGTTTATAATAGCCTCGACCAAGGGCTTGTTCGTCCCCGGGTAGGGTTCACTCGGTTACCAAAAAAAACTCCAGGAAAAATGATATTTTGAAAAAATTATTAGAGATGTATTTTTGAAATTTAAACATATCATAAAACTAATAGAGCTGAACAAAATGAGATATTTTTTATTAAAAATGATAAAGTACTTATAATTTTCTTAAGGTTTGCCTTTAGGGTTCGCCATAACCCCATTCTCCCCTTTAAGTTTTCAATAAATTAAAAAGAAAAAACTTGATGTTTAATATTTAAAATGATTAGATGAAAAAGAGAAATCTATTTTATTACTTAGAATCTTTTTTATATATTTTGAGTCAAAAAAAGAAGAGCCTTAGCCTTAATTTCAATAAAAAAATGTTTTTAGAGCCAATCCCCATTTTAACTTAATTTTCAGATTCAACTAGGTCAGTCGAAAAGTCGATAAATAAAAAATTGTAACTTTCATGAAACTCCATTCGCGATATGATAATGCATTCGCTATTATACATTCTCTATAATGCATTCGCTATAATGCATTCGCGATAATTCATTCGCTATAATGCATTCGCTATAATGGATTCGCTATAATGCATTCGCTATAATGTTCGCGATAATTCATTCGCTATAATACATTCTCTATAATGCATTCGCGGTAATATATTCGCGATAATGCATTCGCGATAATGCATTCGCGATAATGCATTCGCGATAATTCATTCGCTGTAATGTATTCGCTATAATACATTCGCGATAACATTTTCGCGGTATTAAATTCGCGCTAATACATTCGCTTAAATATATTCCTAATAGAATTTTATTTCATGTTTAACTATGTTGTATCGATTTAATAATGATGCATAGTTTTAATTCATGTAAATAGTTAATAAATTAAAAATAATTCAAAGGTTCCTGACCAAATTGTCTGAAATTTATAGGGTTATAGCAGCCCAGATCTCATGTCTTGGCTACCGGAATAAATATATTCCTAATAGAATTTTATTTCATGTTTAACTATGTTGTATCGATTTAATAATGATGCATAGTTTTAATTCATGTAAATAGTTAATAAATTAAAAATAATTCAAAGGTTCCTGACCAAATTGTCTGAAATTTATAGAATAGGTATTGTACACATACTGAAATATATTTTCGGAAAAATTAAATCTGCAATTTCGCGCGCTCAACAAATTGTCTTGCTATTTTCCAGCTCAATATCATTTATTCAGGACATTTTTAAATTTGAAAAATCTGAGTTTGCCTATGCATTCCATCATGTGTAAAATACCTACCCTGTAAATTTCAGAGAATTTTATAAGATATTATCATAAATTAATGATTGTATTGGCCTTAATTTTTCAAACCCAGCTCGACCCGAAATTTTTTTTAAAAAAATTTGCCCGGCCCGTGGACAATTTTTTATATTTATCTCGAAAATCCATACTATAATAAAATTTATTTATTCACCCAACCCCGAATTTGATCTAATATATAAAAAAGTTTTTTATACTAAATATATTTAATTATTTTAGGATTAGATAAGTCGTCATTCGAGTACACTTAATTATGGTTTTAAATTAGAATTGCCATAATATGCACTTTATTGCAATATAGTTTTATATTTTTTACATTGAATATAATCTAATGTTCTTTATTATCTAATATATCTTTAAAATTATTCCATATTTACTCCTATAATTTTTATGTTAAATTTAAACTGTATATTTTATTTATTAATTTAATATAAAAGATTCTACAAAAAAAATAGAAGATTTATATTTTATATTTATACTCAAATAGCTATTAAAAATAAATAAAATTTAACATTTTTTAATCGGTTGACTAAACTACAAATGCCCAGGTAAACTATAAATGCCTAGGTAAACTACAAATATATAATATTATTAAAATTTAAAATCTAATTATATTTATTTTTAATATAATTATATTAAAAGATATAGACTATTTATAATGAGATAATAGGAAATACAACTTATATTCTTTTATTATTGAATATATCCAATAATTTAATTTTTATAAGTTATTTATTTATATCATAAGAAAATGAATCTCACTTCAAATAATATCAAAAATTTTTACCTAAGCATTTGCAGTTTAGTCAAACCCTTTTTTAATGGTAAAAAAATAAAATATTCCATAAAATAATAAAAAATATTGGTCTTGTTTCTTGCAAAAATCTCTAACATTTCGGTCCATATTTTTTTTAAATATTAGACCTAGCTCAGCCTAAACTAAAGAAAATTTAATTTATAGTATCATTTTAAATTTATTTTACATATTTAAAATACTCGAAAAGTTTGAAATGATACTTAACAGGTGTGAAATTATATTTCTTACGAGATAAAAATGTTATAATGTATAATATATTTTTTTGAACCTTAAAATTTTCTTAACTTTTCTGCTATCCGCATAAATTTATTTTTTAAATATGATAGGAAGAAATCGAATGTTTTGAAAAGCATAAAATAGTTCCCCAAATACCAGTAGAAGTGATAGAGATTAAGAATAAACATGTTAGCCCGCCACAATTCGCCAACGTTAAGGATACCCTCAAAGCTAGCGATTCTACTAAGATTATTAGAAAAAAAACTTCGATCAGCAATAAAAGTATTTTTTTTTCTCGAATAAATGTGAGAAAGTATCGAATATAAAAAATATAGTAAAGAAAGAGCAAAATCAATGTTAAATAAACTGATTATGAGTTATTTTTATTTATACTAATTCCGGTATATAGAGCTAAATTAAATTCATTAAAAAAATATATTAATTATGATGAACTTAATTATGAAAAAATAACCCCAAATTTATATTTAATGAAAATTATTTTTTTAGAAAAATAAATCTCCAATCTTCTTCAATTGAAAACATTTCTCAACAATGACGGAAAGAAGCATTTCAACCCATACTTGATAAAAATAATTAAAATCAATTCCGCGCATTGTTAATTTTTTTTGTTGGTCATTTCTTTTTAACCCTATACCCAAAGCTATTTTGATTTTTATTACTTTGTGAATTGATAATATATTAAGATGCAACTCCCTTTGCAAAAAAAACCATTTATCAGTTCCATCTTAATACAAAGTCATTCTAAAGATGTAAAATATTAAAATCAGCTTTAATTAGAATAAAAATAATTATAGTTAACTTTTTAAAAAGGATTTTATTTATTATAAATTAATTATGAAGTTTTTAGGTTTTCCAATCTTAAGAAAATTTTTATAAATAATAGGACACTGTAAAACGATAAAAACACGGCCAAATATAACAATGTTATATTTATTGGGGGTTTTTTCTATGTTGTTAAAGGGATCATTTTGAGCCGATTTCTAAAAACAGCTAAGTCAATATTTTATCCAGAAAAATATTATGCAAGTCTAAAGATATAGCTAGCTCATAGGTGGCACATAGGATTGAACATCTATTGGCGAAATCTCGACGCTTAGGTAATATTTTCCTATATATAATGTTGAGTTAGCCGTTTTTAAAAATAGGCTCAAATCGAATCGTTTAACAACACTAGTTTTTTCCTCTTCTATCTCATCTATTATATTGCTTATTTCTAATTTAAAGACACACAGGGTACGAATAATTTGTTATAATCCAAAATTTTTGCATATTCCTACCTTTAGTAAGCACAGTATTTGCAAAATTGTGTTTATAAAAGTAGTACAATTATCTATCCAGGATATATAAGGTAAAGCTTAGAGAACAACTTTTCTTATCTCTTTTTTTCTCTAGTTGCAAAATTTGAAATCCATATTTTTACACATTCCTGATGGATAAACAACTTGCAAATTTATTTATCAAATTAATCATAATTCATCCTATTATACTTATTACATGTGATATAAATTTATATTATTTATCATAAAATATATAAATTATACATTAATATATTTGTCACCTTATGATTCAAATATTATCTTTTTGATTGTAAAAATAAGACAGGAAAAAAATGAAATTATAGAAAAATTTATAACCGAATATAAACTTTGTTGGTATAGCTAATTACTAGGCCAAAATAAATATAAATATTTGATAAAAATAAGAGCTAGAATTTGAATTTATTTTCCTCATTATTTATTGCTTAAAATTGAATAGATATTATCTTCTAAAGACAATGGGGAAAATTAGCTTGTCTTGGACGTCGGTATTGATAGGAATTAGTAGGGTATTTGACGTCGGTTGATAGGAATTGCTTTGTAAAATGGTTAGTAGTAGGGAATAAGAATTTTATTTAAAACTAATTTTTATTATGAAAATTTAACTGATAAAATTTATAATATACGATCTCTTATTATATCCAAAGTAAATCAATTATGTAAATATATATCATATAAAATAACGTTTTCTGTAAAAATTAATAAAGTAAAAGTTTAATTTAATATATCACATGATAGCCTTAAACCTTCATTATCTACAATAAAAAAATATATTAACAAAATAAAATTGTTACTACTATGTAACTTACTTCCAAAAAAAATTAAGTATCTGGGAAAAAAATGATAATGGGAATTAATTTTGAGAGACAATCATAAAAACTGGGGAAATTAGGGAAAGAACTCGCTTGGCAAGCGAGAGATATCTTAAATAAGGACAATACAATCAATAAGTTCAAACAATATGGATATTTTGTCAATCTTTAAGAAAGTAGGGAAAAAAAGGTAGGGAACTATATAAAAAGAATTATAGAGAGTCCTTACCATTTATGGCCAAGGAAAATATTGTTATATTTTAATTTTTATATACAATCAATGATTACAAAAATTAGGGGTATGTATGACACAAATGCTATCAAAAATTTAGAAGAAGATATTTGGAAGAAATAAATAAATACAAACAAATCAAAAAAATTGTGAGGGGAGTGGGGAGGGGGCAAGCTAGCAATGGAATATAGTTTTTTTCCGTAATTATATCCTTGACTTAGACATATATAAGAAGGGTACACTATAATTGTGCTAGTAGTTATACATAATAGTTCTTTTTCGTAATTATATATTAATTACACTATATATGTTTAATGAGGATGACCAACCTAAAAATAGAATATAGCTTTTTTTCGTAGTTATACCCTTGACTTAGACATTTATAAGAAAGGTATAACTTACTCTATATTAATTAGAAAAATATAATAATAACCAATACTGGTTTTAAATTTAATTATTATATTACCACATTCCAGTCATGTATTACTTTAAATACTAATCATTATTATTAAAAAAAAATTAAATTTATATCTTAAACAAAATAAATAATTTTTTGATTATAAAAAAAATTTTGACTATAAAATTGAGGAACAAATGAAAACTTTTTTTTAAAAAAAATATAGAGAATAATGAATATTTCTTTTCACAACCGTCTTTTCATCTTCAGACCCATACCAGGCGCGCATAGATTGACAGTCTCCGCACCAGCTTCCAATAAGCTGGTGACCCTATCCTCCACCACAAAGACAAGGGGGCAAATTAGCTTGTCTTGGACATCGGTATTGATAGGAATTAGTAGGGTATTTGACATCGGTTGAGAGTTTTATAGTTAAAAATAGTCTTTTTAACACTTTTATAATCAGAAGTTCGGTTCTTTCTTTTTAATTAATTAACCAAATTATTTTATTATTTTATTTATTTACCAGAATCCTATAAGGTACACTTTATAGCTTCTTTATTCTTGAAAATTTTCCTTAAAAAAAAATAAAAAAAACTAACTATTTTTTAAAACAAAACAAAACGCGAAAAAACTAACTTTATTTTTCTTTTTTTCTTAAAAACAAATAATGAGGACAAAAAAAATTATTCTATATAATTATCATAATAATAATAATATTATATAATAACAATAATAATAACAAAAATATTATTGGTTCTTTTCTACAAAAACTAATATATATAAAAAATCGATAAAATATTATTTATATTTTTCCTAATCAATCCCCAACTTTCACCACAGAGAGGAATTGCTTTGTAGAATGGATATTTGTAGTAGGGAATAAGAATTTTATTTAAAATAAATTTTTATTATGAAAAGTTAACTGTTAAAATTTATAATATACGATCTCTTTTTATATCCAAAGTAAATCAATTATGTAAATATATATCATATAAAATAACGTATTATTAATATAAATAAAAGTTTAATTTAATATATCACAAGATATACAATAAAAAATAACAAAATAAAATCGTTACTACTATGTAACATCTTCAAATACAAAGAATTTGGAGAACATACAAGACATATTGTCTTTCTTCATTTCGGATGGTAAATGATCATTACATAGTTCAATGATGATTATAACCATATTTACACATCTTTTCCATACTTCAACATTCCCATCTTCATTATTTTTTTTATTTTTTTTCAAAGATCCGAACCTTTATTTATAACGGTTAGATTAGGTTATGGTTTAGTATATGAAAAATCATATGGTTAAGGTATGGGATTCGGTTCAGATAATTATAAAGGTTCATTTTGGTTCAAACAAATACTATATAATATGAATCTCATGAATTATATTCACTTTAATGAAATGTGAGGTAATTCCGTCTTGGCTCTAAAATTGAGTTTTTAAATAATTTAACTGCACAATTTACGAATATTATTTATTCTATTTGTTTTGTATGAATGTTTTATCTATATTATGTTATCAACTAATTATGTCATTGAATTTGATTTAAATTGATCACGTCTTTTTAGTTTTAGATGCAATATAAATAGGTATGATTAAGCAATATAGATGATTAACCCTTAAAACGATTTTTACGTGAATTTGACGCGAGTATATAAAATATGAGAAAAAATATGTAAAGATTCATTAAATGTTCAACCCGGGTTAACCCTTTTTATAGATTCATTACTCCATCAAAAAATAATTATATCTCTTCAATAGTTAGTTTAGATATTTATAAAGACTTATAACGTTTTAGCGGTTCATTCCTTTCTTTTTTTCATTGTCTAAAAGGTCACCTGATAGAGAAGTAGATCTTAGCATTTAAAATCATAAACTTTTCAAGTTTCATTCTAATCATATTTCATCATAAAGAACTTGACCAATTTTACCATTATTCCTTATATTTACCCACAACTCTTTTTATTTGGTCAATTAACCATTTCTTCGCATTAGGATTGTCATTTTCCAACATCATTGCTCAAGAATAGTAACTCCTTTTATCTCTCGTTGACCGTTGCATAAGTATGAGAAACATAAAGGGTGAAAACGCAGAGCCGTAATACCAACTAAGTTTTAAATAAATTTCTGACATATATTTGGTTGTTATACATATTCTTTATAACTAATACAGAATTCATATATTATAATGCAATTCTTAAGACTGCACAAATTCAATTATGGGAATTCCATTTAGTCAATGGGCAATTTTCTCCATACCAAAAAAGTCGTTAATTGAGATAACCCGCTCCACCAGGTTCGCCATTGTTTTTTATGGCGACAGTGAGGCATGCAAAATTTTTAAAATACTATTTAATTATATTTTTATATTAGAGTATGTCCAAAGTCAAAAAATTCTAGCATTTATACATTATGGGTCCAAACTCGATTTTATACATTTTTTAATAAAATGCTGACTTGACGTACCCGTATAGTATTCTTTCTTAAACAAGAATATTAAAATATGAATTGCATTGGTATATAATAGTTACATATCATTCACAATCATTCATAAACATACATTATATTTTATATTGGGATGTATTGCCCTCCCGCTAATTTTTGCCAAAAAACTCCATATTTTTTAAGTGTTAAATTTGAATCCCACTTCTCTTTATTATTTTTATAGAAATTAAAATTTTTATAGTAAAAAATTTTTTTTTATAGCCTCATAAAAGATAGTGAAGCAAAAAATATATTTTCAACTTTTTATTTTCATTATGCTTTATTTAAAGTATAGAAACAAGTTTCACTACAAAGTTATAAATAGTTCGATTTTATCAGGCTTTGAGCCAACTCTAATAAGGCTGAGCCAAATTTTTAAGCGAAAACTATTATCTTAGACTGGATTGAGTGTTAAACTTAAAGGATATCTTAATCTTAAAAATACTTGCCACAAGGCTTAGCAAATTTTTTTGACAGTTAGGATTTGGCCAATACAACACTACAGGCATGAAATATTTAGTAATGAGATATTTTAAATGTTCAGATAGGAATTTTTCAAATAGATAGGATGTTGTAATTTACTATGAAAGAAATAATAAATTAGATATTTATCATCAGGTTCTTCAGTGTTATTTTACCAATAAACATTTTTTTTATTGATTGATTGATTGTTATATGAAAAAATAATTATTAGGAACATATTGAAAATAATTAAAAATTATGAAGGCAACGTCTACATAACAGAAAATTTGAAGGCAAACCGCCTCCGAAATCTACACTTATCTGCCCAAAAAAAAATTCAGGTCTCATGATCATTTAGATCGGAATAGCAAATAATTATTAGTTGGTTATCTGATTCTAAATATTAAAACGAACGTGTATAAATTCAAACTGTACTAAAATGTTATAAGTGAATGAATGAGAAATAACTATTTATTAATAAATTTAAATTTTTTTATCAATTATTTTTACCTTTAATCTATAAATAGTGTTTATTTTCTACCCTACCCATAGATGCCTACCTTCTTCAAGGAAAATCGCTCCTACCCCCTCTCGTGTTGGAGTTGTATGTAGGTTATTTTTTAAAGACGGCACTCGATTCACAAATTTTACTTTTATTTTAAAAAGACTCTAGAAAAAATTAAAAGCTAGTAAGATTAAAAACAGACCTTAATAAGAAAGCATCATGCAGTCTGAATATTTTAATTTACAAAACTTTTAAAGATTTTAGTGGATGATTTTTGTCATGTTATATAATTTCACGAGAATTTATAAATTTTGAGGTTTTTTTAAATATATTTAGGTCAAATATATAAAATAAATATGATATAATAAGAACTCGCATTATAAAATAAGCAAATTTAAGTTTTTAAATAAGATTAAATTTAGTTATTAGAAATGAACTTATATATAAGTTAGAAAAAAGAATAAAATATTGAGTACATTCCTCATAAGCAGACTTATAAATCCCACCTTTTTAAATAAGTAGTATATTTTTTATAAAAAACTGGATCGTGATTCAGGATTGATTTTTTTATAAAAGAGATCGAGATCGGTTAGGAATAACTAATTATGTTTATTTTGTTATGCAATATTGTTTGTAGATACTTATAATTTTTTTTTCCAACATTTAATTTAATATTTTCTATATACATATATAATATTTATAAAATTAAAATTTTTATAAAATTAAATCGTGTTCAATAAAATTTAAATTTATATATCAAATTTTAAATGCTTAAAAAAGACATATTTTTTTACAAAGTTCTTTTTTGAGAAATTTATTTTATAAATAGGATAAATTTAACTTAAGATGTTCTTCAATAACTCCTAGAAAATTTTTTAATTATCCCCCCATGACGAATTCACCTACACTAGTGCCTTTTTGCAGAGGAATAAAAAAGGCGGATATCGTTTGTTTTTTCATTTAATTGTTATTGAGTGAATGGATATTTTATAACCAATATTTTAATAAATATTTTCTTGTTTATCCAATTAATTTGGCTAAATAATAACTAAAAGTTTTCTAAGAATTTTGTTTTTTTATTTATATTTAAATGTTAACGGCGAATTTAAATTAAATAACTAATTATTTTTTTAAATTTGGTGGGCGGAAAAATTATTGGAGGCCATTTGTGGGGACTAAAATTTTATCGAGGGGCCAGGTTTGATGACCAAAAATATTTGTGTGTGTCTGCCCTCTCCTTCGTGACTATTACCCTGAGGGTATAATTTATGTTGGTGAATATAACAATGAAACCAGCTTCTTCAGATTATTTAATAAACAAGAAAATATTTAAAACAAAAGAATATAAAAAAATAGCTTTAATGTCTATTTTAATTTAAAAAAATAAGTAAATGTTAAACTCTAATATAAAAAATTATAAATTTATAAAAAAACATAATATTTCATAATCATAATTTCAACCATATAAATAAGCGATATCCCAAATATAAATTATGTTATGTTAAAATATGAAGAAAATATAAGCCTAATAAATGAAGAAAAAAGATAAATAATATAAAAACAAAAAATAGAAAAAATCTTAAAAACATATATTAACAAAAAAATGAAAGGAAATAAATAAACAATAATTCATATTCTTTCAGCCACAAATATAGCTGCTTTACATCCCAATTTAATTACATTCGTGAAATTATTATAAAATGGAGCCTTTTCCGCTTCGTGTTCTAAGCCTGTGTCGTGGTGTTCCATTTCTTCGTCCCTAAACCTTTTGATTATCTTTTGAATCAAAATGTGCAATACTACTAATAAAAGTATTCTTTATAATCAAATTCAAATGTACATAAACATTTATCTATTTTATAAAAATTCAAAGAATTAGAAATTGGAAAAGCAAAGATTTAAAAAAAATATATTTTTATTAGTCTAGTCGCTATAATAAATTGTAGCAATCTAATCTAATGTCGATAATTGTTTTTTTTTAAAAAAATTCTTACTCACACTCATTCTTAAAAATTTATAAAAATTGAGCCCCAGGAATAAAATATAGTTTATTAGGCAATTATTTTATTTTATTATTTTTTTAATCGGAAATGATATCGGGAAGATCCAATTTTTCTCAAAAATGACCAATATCGGTGGCGATCTGATTCCGATATATCGAAAAATAAAAGAATAAACTAAAATATTTTATTCAGTGCATTTAAGGTATCTATTTCTTAGATCAAAGACCGGGTTAGATCTGGTACTCTATATTCTTTAAGTGTTATTTATATAAAACCATAAGAATTAATTAGTTTAGTTTTATAGTTTATATTAAAACAACTTCTAAATAAATAATTGTTATGCCGAAGATAATTAATAAGGGTAAGGTGTCGAATCGAACGAAAATCAAATAAACCGTTATAAATTTGGGATAGGTAACCGAAGCGTTATAAAAATAATTTGGAAGGAGAGAACCAAAACGTTGTAAATATTATAATAAAAAAAATTAAACTCATTTTCTTAAATTTTTGTTTATTTTTTATTTATAAGTTTTATAGTATCAACATTCTGGATGAATTTATAAAATATATTAAGCATGATTTAACAACATCCAAAACAAATATTAAAAAAACCGTAATGAACCCATATGAATTTATAACCCGAAATGAACCGATATAAATTTGTTCGAATGGAACTAAACTTTAGACTAAAAACTGGAGTGGAACTGAACTGTTATATCCATTGGTTCGACACCCTGGTTTAAGATATTAGATTCAAATATTTAAATTTAGATTAATGAGTGGTAAATGTCCATTATAGAATTTTAGATAACTTAAGCCATCTATCATGTAAAATAATATCTTGCCATAAAGTTTAATGATTTTGATTAAATTAGTACGTTCCAATTGTTCTTAATTTTGAAATTAAATTAAAGTTTGACATAATGCAAAAGAAATCAATTTCGTAGACTATTTTGACCTTTTTCGGTCTTAGCATAACTACTCCTGATCAGCAATTCATATTCAATAAGTGGAATCTTTTTTAAAGCATCCAATACTTATTAAATGCAAGATTCGATTAAGAAAATTATAAAATATATTTTTAATATTGTGATTATTGGAAAGGCAAACAAACCCCATAGAGGCTCTTAATAAAATATAAAGTTTTGCAGTTATAAAATAAATCATAGAAATCTTCTAGTAATGATACATTTATCTAATTGATAATTATGATTCAATCCAATACTCAATGATTAAAGTAGGCCACACAAAAGCAAACTTATGAAATAAAAACTCAAACTCTCGGGCAAGTTTCTATAGGAAAAGACACCTAAATTACCTCATAATGAAAGAAAACATTTGGTAAAGTTATTGAAGTTGAATTAAAAAAACAGTTGGACAATAAAAAATTCAGTATACAGATGGACAAAATTTAGAATATAAGCATTTATGATCAAACTATAATTTGTTCGATATATTAATAATGGAACCATTATTGAAAGACTTTATGTAGTAAATTTTTGGGGAAAGGACTTTTTGATTTATTATATAATTATTTCTCGAAATGTTGACTATAATTAAAGATGATTGTAGAATCATTTGATAGTGCATCAAACAAATGAATTTATTAAAAGCTAAACAACAAATAACAGATAGTAATTATATATGGCAACATTCATAGATATATTTGTGAGATACATATGATAACTGAGAAACAAAATGGTGGGCTAGCAAGAAGGCAATTTTATGGATGTTTAATATAAATCATATACTACTATTATATATGTCGTGCATCTGGATTTTTACAATTCTTTTATAGCGCGGGTTTTTTTAAATTTTGAGAGCAGACGAAATTAAAACTTGGTAGCGAGAAGAGAAGAAAAATAGCTGATCAAAAAGATGGGGGTGATAATCAATTCCCCTGAGCTTGTAAGGAAGCGATACTTATAACCAAAATCTATCGTTAAGGTGGAGAATAAGGATCTTTGCAGCAAGAGACTTTATGAAGAGCTATAATGTTCTTAATGATTCGAAAAATTTCAAGGTAGAAATAGAGAAAAAGGCGTAAATGATATTTTGAAAATATTAATAAACTGAAGTAAAGCATTAAAAAAGAACAGAATACTTTGGTTTGAAGTCATAATTTTAAATAAAAATTTACTAATTCTCATATATTATTTTAATAAATATTGCCTTTTTCAGGGTTCTAGACCCGTCAAAATTTTCAACCAGGTTCGGTCCAGAGGGTAGGCCGAACCCGAATTCATAATTTTTTAAGAAAATACAAATCAATATCATATGAAAAAAATATATCAGCAAATAAATATGAGAAATTGGATTTTGAAAGTAACTTATAAAGATTTGCAAAAATAATTTATTAATAAAAATTTAGTAATTTATCATCAAGTAATAATATTAAATTATATTTGCATTTTTATAAGTTTCTTTCCCTTATTTATTAGATCTGTTAAAGAAAAATAGTTGACGAAGAAAATCTGAGATTATAAGATTAAATAACTTAAACTCAAAGTAGTAATATAAATTATGTACTAGTAATTTTAATTAAGCTTTTAGTAATTATGAAATTAATATATTATTTATATATATGTCGTAATTTTTAAAGGGATCATAACTATCCGGGATCTTCACGGGTTTTAAAGGGATAACTAAAAAATTAGGGTTTTAAGTTAAGGAATGATAAGAATGAAGACTTTCAATCAAACGATATTAAAATTAGCTTTTATTTGATACCCATATCAAAAAAAATTATTTTTACACACCCTCCCCACCCCCATCCCTCAGACCAAGTCATACCCATCAAGACTAAGAATGAAGACTTTCAGTCAAACCATATTAAAATTAACTTTTATTTGATACCCATATCAAAAAAAATTAATTTTTACACACCCACCCCCATTCAGATTAAGTCATACCCATCAAGACCAAGAATAAAGACTTTCAGTCAAACCATATTTAAATTAGCTTTTATTTGATACCCATATCAAAAAAAAATTTACACCACCGCCCCCCCCATCCATACACCCCCTCCCACCCTCAGACCAAGAATGAAGAGTTTCAGTCAAACCATATTAACATTAGCTTTTATTTAATATCTTACATCAAAAAAAATTATTTTTACAACCCCCCCCCACCCCCCAGACCAGATTAAGAATGAAGACTTTCAGTCAAACCATATTAAAATTAGCTTTTATTTGATACCCATATCAAAAAATAATAATTTTTACACACCCCCCCCCCAGATTAAGTCATACCCATCAAGACCAAGAATAAAGACTTTCAGTCAAACCATATTTAAATTAGCTTTTATTTGATACCCATATCAAAAAAAATTATTTTTACACACCCTCCCCACCCTTACCCCTCAGACCAAGTCATACCCATCAAGACTAAGAATGAAGACTTTCAGTCTAGTGATGTTAAAAGTTACTTTTGAAACATAACTAGTTACAGTTACTAGTTACATTGGCAAAAACATAACTACAAAAGTAACTAGTTATTAGTTACAGTTATTTTCAAAAGTAACTTACTTTATACATCATTCATATGCGCATTATTTATTTATTGAATGCATTTATTTTATAAAAAAAATTAGGATGAACAAAGTATAATCAGTTATTTAAAAGCAAAATTGAATATTTACATCGAATATAAAAATCTATATTTGCATTGAAAAAAAAACAATTATTTTTCATAAAAATTAGAATCTAATAAATGTTTATTTGCTTTTAACAACAAATTTTCAAAGTTATTATCTAGGAGACGTGCTCGTTTATCTCCAAAAATGAGCTTACCTAGACTGAACAAGCGCTCTACGGGAGCACTTGATGTTAGAACAACATTATACTTAATAAAGAGTAATTTTAACTTTGGAAAATCGTTATATAAAGAAAAAGTGTTGTTATTAGATTTGATAAAGTTTTCTATAGGTTCATTATCCAGAATATTTTGGCGCTTTAGGTCAAAAAATCCAACTACATCAAGTGATGTTGGTTTTGAGCATGATTCATTCGTCTGGGATTCACTTTGAGGTATTAAGGTATTTATTAAATTTAAAATTTCCTCCTTTTTTGCTTTATTCCTTTCTTGCCTAATCCAAGGCCAGTCAGTTTTAAATAAAGGGTGAAGAATTGCAGCAATGATGTTGTCATTATCATAAAGATTATTAAACCTATATATAACATGATATTATTGATTTATAAATAATTATTTGATTTAAGTTACCTTTTATCAATACTAGCTAATATAGTATCCTTTAGAGGTTGACAATTTTTTAATCCCTGCACATCTGCCATACATATAAGTATTTGTGTTATTGTTGGGGTATAATAACCCAGATACATGTATTTTTCCCCTTCAAGAATATCAATAGCTTTGGACACTGTTTACATAATCTAATTTTTAAATTGTAAATTTTTATAAGACATTAATTTAAATTTACACTACATTATTCTTTTATAAAATCATGATCATCTGATGTGAATCTACACAATTTTAATTCATCACATAATGAATCAAATTCCACAGGCACTTGATTTATAAACGATAATATTGGCCAGGGATTTATAAAAGGAACCCTATCTTGTTATAACGGGATATGGGAATTGAGAATGTAATTTTTTTTTAATAAGTTCGGCGGATGGCCCAGATTTATTTTGGAGGTTCCACAAACGTTGGCATTTAGATATAGCTAAGTTATAAACTTTCCTATACCCCTCATTGTTTAAAAGTAACTTGTTGGCATCTTGTGTTGCCACTAAGTTTAATGTGTGGCAAGAACATCTTCGATGCCTGGGAAGGTAGTCGAAGTCAATAATATCATAACTGGAGAGCCCAGAAGAAGACATTATATCTTCTATTGAGATACATTCAATATCAGAAACAGAATCTTCCTTTATTATATTAGATGGGCAGCTAAATACTCTAAGAGAAATAATTTATAAAGTAAATTAGTTAGGCATACCTAAACGCCTTTGAAAAGTTGCTTGCATTATCCGTTATTGTGCAGATATTTTTATTTTGGATATGGAACTCCTTAAAAACAGCAGTTAAGGCTTTGCTGATCACATCATATGTATGCCTACCTTGTAGTCTTTGGCAGGCTAGAATAGCTGAAAGCCTTTCCAATTTCTCCACATCAATCCAATGTACTGTTATACCAATATAGGAGCTATTATTAATATAACAAAAGATAACCAAATGTATTGTGCACTTTAGTAAAAAATAATATTTACCGATTAAATGCTGTCCAGCAGTCAGCTGTTGTACAAACATAATTAAGCTCTAACAATTTTTCTATTAGAATATCCTTCATTTGAACAAAATATTTTGATATTCTTAAGGTTAAGGTTTGTCTGCATATAATCTTCATATTAGGTTGCAGGGTGTTTATCAGCTCAACAAAATCTTCATCATCACAGGTTGTATATGGGTGATTTCCATTTATTATATATTTAATAATTTGTGAATCAAATTTATCTTTGCTGATACCTTTAAAATTTGATTTTCCACCAAAGTCAAGTTTAGTTTGTTTTAACTTACTTGATGTGGCTGAATTAATTTTCTTATTATCTATGGTTTGTTTAATATTTACGGATTAATTAGGATGCTTTCTCTATAGATATATGTTTTATATATATAAATATTTAATTAATATTAATTAGGGCTGTGCCGATATTAAATATCGGATCGGATCGGTCCCGATATTTTGCGTTTTTCAAAAATATCGGATCGGCCCGATACCTGTAAAAAACCCGATCCGATCCGATCCTTTTTCTAAAAATGCAATTCTTATAAAACTTTTGAGTAATGAAACTTTGAATTATTATTTTTTAATAAAAAAATTTTTTTTTAAATATTTTAAAAAAAAATAAATTTTTTCGAGTTTCTATTTTACATTAATAATATTTTATAAATAATTTTTTTTTAAACAATGCAAATGTTATTTATTTTTTTAAATAGATTTTACAAGTTTTTTTATAAAAATAGAAAGGAACACCCAAAGTTTTATTTATTTTTAATTTTTTAAAAAAATAACACCAATTTTATTATTTATACTTTAAATAAAAATTATTTTAAATATGGTTTCTGAATTATGGAAATATTTTGATAAAGATGAAGGTAATTTTGCAAAATGCGTCATCTGCGGAATTCTAATTTCACCTAGAGGAATACTGAAAAATTCGTTCAATACAACTAACATTAGGAAACATCTGAAGCGTTGCCATCAAAAGGAATTCGAAGAGCTAACACAAAAAGAACGAGAAATATTAGAAAAAACAAATCAAATTTTAAAAAAAAGAGCCCTGAAAGTCAGCCAACAATATCAGTCATTCTTAATAAAACTAATATTTGGAAACATTCTGATCCTAAATCAATAATAATTTCTAAATTTATAGGGGAAATGATAGCGTGTGACCACCAGCCGATTTTTATCTTGGAGGATATAGGCTTTAAAAGGCTTTTACATCATTTATGTCCAAATTACAAAATTCCCAATAGAAAGTATTTTTCGCAAGGAGTTATTCCGGATATATATGAAAAACTCTCCGAAAAAATTCGTAAAGAAATTTTGGTTGACGATTCTTTTTTATCCTTTACGGTAGATATATGGACTAGAAATTCAGGTGGCGATTCTCACATCTCATTAACATGCCACTATATAAACCAAAATTTTCAACAAATTAATAGAGTTCTAAATGTTAAAACATTTAATGAGTCGCACACAGCAATAAATATTGCTCAAATTTTAGATGAAATTATTAATTATTGGGGTAATAAAGAAAAATAAAATACACCTAATCATTAGAGATAATGCGCCCAATATAACTTTGGCCATGAAAAATGGGAAATTTCAAAGCGTTTCGTGTTTTGCACATAGTTTGCAATTGGTTGCACAGGCAGCAATTTTATCACAGAGATCTATTATTGACATGCTTGCCCGGGTTAGAAAAATAGTAGGACACTTTAAACATTCTTCTATTGCACAAAATTGTCTAAAAGAAATCCAAATTCGATTAAGTCTAGCCCAGCACAAATTAATCCAGGATGTGCCCACCCGTTGGGATTCTACCTATTATATGCTCGAAAGATTGATAGAACAAAAAAGGGCGGTACAGCTGTTAATTATCGATAATCCTAATTTGGGAAATCTCTCATTATATGAGTGGGAATTAGCAGAAAGGGTAATTGATGTTCTTGAACCAATTCAGAGAGTAACAAAAGAAATAAGTACGGAATCATGTTCAATTAGCAATGTTATACCCTTTGTTAAAATTCTGAAAAGTGAATTAACAATTAATGGGGACACAGATAGAGGTGTGCAGACTATGAAGAATACCACTAATAATCAATTAACAACTCGGCTTTTTGATATTTATGATGATGACAATTATGTTGTTGCAACATTACTTGATCCTCGATATAAGGATTTCTTTTTGCCAAAAAACATATCATACATAGAAAAGCTCAGGACTGCATGTGAGTCTTTTTTTAAAGGTGATGATAATGTTCAACTTCCAATTTCTAATAAAGATTCGCCAGGTTTTATATTTTTTAAAATAAATTTAGATTTTATTATTAACTTAGGTAATGACAATGAGAAAAATGTTCCACATAACATTAAAAAATGCAAATTTAATTTAAGGGATGCTTATAAATTGAAAATCAAAGAAAAACTAGTAATAAATGAAATCGATAGTAATGTAAATGATGACCTGCCATACCTAATAGAAATCAAGGAATATTTAAAAGAATCTTTATATATAGAAAGTATAACAACATATTTTTCATATTAATTTAAATATTGCTTGGTTGGGCTATGATTGACCCATTTGTTTGGGTGATTTTTCAAAATCAACAAAAGATTGGGTTTGTATGAAACCCACGATTTTATAAATGCTAATTTTATATTTGTGTTATTTATTTAGAAAACTCGAATAACATTGATGATATTGATATTATATCCCCAGTGAATCCACTTGATTGGAGAGTTAATGCTGTAAAATATCCAACTTTATCAACACTTGCACGTAAATTTTTGGCTCCTCCAGCAACAAGTGTCTATCTGAGTCTGCCTTCAGTACGGCAGGGGATATTGATAGTCCTCATCGTAGAAGCCTATCGCCTGAAAATCTAGAGGCTCTTATATTTATTAAAAAAAATCTAATATATTATAATTTTATATATTAAATATTACAATTTTATAAACCAACATAAAATGGATATATTATTATATATTTTTTTTTAAATTATTGTTGAAATAAAAAAATTAAATTATGCATAAAAAATATTGATTTATTAATTACATTTGGTTCAAAGAGGGGTGGTGAAAAATTAATATAAATATCGGATCGGTATCGGATCGGTTTTGAACCAATATCGGAAAATATCGGATCGGATCGGTGAAAAATATGTGGATCGGCACAGCCCTATAATTAATTATTCTAATAAAGTTAATTCATTTAATTATTCTATATAATATTAATACAATTTATGTAAACTTACAGAGATATGTTTTCATAAATTAGCTGTGGATGACTTAGATGCTGCAATATACTTTTTATATGGTAGGCATAAGAGACATTTGACATTAATATTAGTATGACTACCAGCCTTCTCTTTGTGGAATTCAAAATATTTTTCAAAACTTGGCCAAGGAAGGTCCTTTTTTTTGCAATTATTGTAGAAGGAGAAGGTATAATTTCTTCATCATCTGACTCAGAATTCATATTGTATTATGTTTCTATCTAGGAGATAAATATAAATAACACTATCAAAATTAGGAATAGAATAATCAATTAATGAGTGAAACATACAGTTCTAAAATGTGTCTAATTTATATATAATTTGATTATAAATAAAAATTCAGGCTAGACCAAAAAATAAATTTTAGAAAGCAATCATTTTTTAAAATTTGAGTAATGTGCTTATGCTTTTGTTAGACTTGGTTCTTGTAAGTAATGATTAATAATTTAATATTAAATTCTAAAATAATCTGTCTTTGTTTTTCCTTATACTAAATTTAAAATTTTTTTTATTATGTATGATATGAAGTTCCAATGCTTGTTACTTGACGGAAAAAAATATATTGGGCCACATTTGTAAATAAATATAATATAAAAATTTATTAAATTACTTGAATTTGCTTACAAAATTATGAAGCCCAGCAGCAATGTAACAATTTAAGAAAAGAAAATCAATTTGAACGGGAAATTATAACAATCAGACATTTTCACATAGATTTAAATTAATAAATTTAATTTAAAAAATAAATTTATCACAACATATTAAAAATAAAATTAATTATTTGAATATATCTTTAAAAGTAACTAGTTACTTTTGGCAGTTACATTTCAAAAATTATAACTAGTTACAGTTATTTCTTAGCCAAAATGTAAATAGTTACTACAAACATCACTATTTCAGTCAAACCATATTAAAATTAACTTTTATTTGATACCCATATCAAAAAAAATAAATTTCTACACCCCCCCCCACCCCCAGATTAAGTCATACCCATCAAGACCAAGAATAAAGACTTCAGTCAAACTATATTTAAATTAGCTTTATTTGATACCCATATCAAAAAAAATTTACACCACCCCCTCCTCCATATACCCCCCACCCTCAGACCAAGAATGAAGACTTTCAGTCAAACCATATTAACATTAGCTTTTATTTGATATCAATATCAAAAATAATTATTTTTGAAAACCCCCCCCACCCCCACTTTCCAGACCAAGTCATACCCATCAAGACCAAGAATGAAGACTTTCAGTCAAACCATATTAAAATTAGCTTTTATTTGATACCCATATCAAAAAAGTTATTTTTTACACTCCCCCCCCCATCAGACCAAGTCATACCCATCAAGACCAAGAATGAAGACTTTCAGTCAAATGATATTAAAATTAGCTTTTATTTGATACCCATGTCAAAAAAAATTCCTCCCCCCCCCGCCTTATGCCCACCCTCCAAGACCAACTCATACCTATCAAGACTAAGAATGAAGACTTTCAGTCAAACAATATTAAAATTAGCTTTTATTTGATACCCATATCGATATTTTGTGTTGATAAAAATATTTCTGACCCCCCCCTCCCCCTCCAAGACCTAGACCCGCAAATTATGGGGGAGAGATTGACCTCCAGTTGAATAGATCTTTTGATTAGCTATCGATTGATACCCTATATTAGACATATCTTATTTCATAATGCCAAAAAAAAACAACATTGAAAATTAATGAATAATAATAAAATTAAAAAACGCTACGAAACGCGTGGAAAACGCTTTTAAAATAAGATTCCTCTTTATCACGATTAAAACGTGATAATGCCGTATAGTTCTTTATCCTTTAAAAAATTGAAATTTTAAAGGGATCCCTTTAAATCCCGTGAAGATCCCGGATAGTTATGATCCCTTTAAAAATTACGACATATGTAATATAAAATATCTTTTATTTTGTTCTAATTATAAGTAAAATTTTTGATTTATAATTGAATTTGAAATAGCTTAAAACTTTTATGCGCGCTCCAGGAAAATCGAAATAATTAATTTGTTATTTTTATTAGGTCTGTGCCGTTTCACATATTTTTTACAGATCCTATCCGATATTTTCCAAAATCGGTTCAAACCCGATCTGGTCCGATCCGATATTGGTTCAAAACCGATCCAATACTGATCTGATATTTATACTGATTTTTCACCACCCCCTAAACCAAATGAAAATAATAAATCAATATTTTTTATGCAAAAAACGAATTAATGAATCTTTCATTATTCCTCCTCGTGAAATTAGAATTCCGCAGATAACGCATTTTGCAAAATTATCTTTGTCTTTTGTAAAATATTTCCATAATTCAGATACCATATTTAAAAAAATTCTTTTATTTAAAGTATAAATAATAAAATTGCCTCTTTAAGAAGATTTAAAATAAATAAAACTTTGTATGTTCCTTTCTATTTTTATAAAAAAACTTTTAAAATACTATAAATCTATTTTAAAAAATAAAAATTTAGAGGGTTTTTGTGCATTTACATTTGTTTAAAAAAAATATATTTACATTTAGAAAATATTATAATAATGTAAAATAAAAACACAAAACATAAAATAACAAAAAAAAAGATCGGATTGGATCTGTTTTTTACAGGTGTCGGCCCGATCCGATTTTTTAAACTAAATATCGGTGCCGATCCGATCCGATATTTAATATCGGCACAGCCATAATTTTTATATTATTTAATTTTTTAAAGAATCAAATTATTCATAAGGTATAAAAAAAACTCCTAAACCCGATCGGGTTCAGGGAAAATTGGTTCGGATCCGGGTTCATAATCCTAAATATTTTCGGGTCTGGATTGCGTTCGGGTTCGAAGAGTCCTGAACCCAGGTCCAGAGGTCCGGGTTTGGTCCTGATCCTTGGTCTTTTTATCTAATTTTTTACTATATCTTTCTATTATTTAACTCTTTCATGCACAGAATGACCAAAAAGTCCGATTTTGCACAGATAAAATTATTTATTTATTAAAAATAATGAAAATATATTGCATGTCATAATTTATTTTTAAAAATAAATAAATATTTCATAAGTTATCACAAAAATAAAGTGGGACATCTGCTATCCCACTTTGCAAATAAACATATTTATGACTTATTATTCGGTTAAAAACAATTTCGACTTTAAGAGACATTACGCTACAAATCTGAACGATGTTCATCGAAAACTGTTGAACAATGAGAATATCTTCTCCTTTGCTCGGATCTTATAGGTAAATGTAAGGCGGCACATCTTCTAATCTCCAAAGGCTCTTTTTTTATTAGATGGGGTTGGATGGCTAGGCTCTGCTGCTAAGCTGTGCATATAAACTATCATTTCAGCATACCCGCCCTTCCAAAGTTTTCATAGTCATACAAGGTAGGTCTTTATAAAGTTAATCGAAATCATAGGATTCGCTTTGAGGAGCCAAAGTTTTATTATCGTTTGGATATGATAAGCAGTTGTTCAAACAAGAAGCATTAATTTGTCTATATATTAATCGTGGAAATCGGGCATTATTCTCCAATAATCCCAGTAGGCTAGTATTTTTTCATCCCCATTATCATGTTATCGCTAAAAAAATTATTCCAATTTCAAAAAAAATTGGCAGATTTAAATCTATAAAATAATAATAATAACTATAAGTATTTAGGAAAAATAATATTAATTTTAATGTTTCATATTTTGAACTGCATATAAATTAGTTTGAAATGTCAAAAATTCCGGATTTTTATATGAAGTTGCAGCATCTACGATATTTTTCGGCCCATAAGTTTATTAAAGTCAATAGGTGGTTTATTAATCGAGGATCATTTTTCAATATGTGGGAGTATAAAATAAATTTACAAGGGGCACATTATCTTCTGAGGCAGAGGATTCATCAATATAATCAGAACTGATATCCTTTCATAGTTGTCAGCATTCTGCATAATGGGATTCATTGAATTGAAACCCATTATAAATAATATAATTATTAAAAACAGGATGCATTATATATAAAAATAATGATCTATATATATTAATCAATGTTGAAGTATATATAGTAAAAATATTACAATAACAAATTGAATACTTTTAGAAATATGAATTTTTAAAATATCCGTTTGGAAAAAATCTGGAAAATAAATACAAAAACGCGAATAAAAATCTCAATATGGCAAATTTTAACAAAATTTTTTTATAAAATATTAAATAAGCAATTTATATATTTTATTAAAAAATAATGTTTTAGGCGTATGTAAAAATAAAATAAATATATTTTAAAGGTGGGTTATAATTTGTACTATTATACAAAACTTTGAAAAAAGTGGTGGATTATATTTTGGCCAGCATGAACGAAAGGTTTAAGTAAAAATTATATTAAGTCTTTTTTAATAACAAATAAAACTTGATTACAAAACTCACGTTTATCAATTCTTTGTCGTCAGCATCTATTGAGATAGTAGTTTCTTCTTCCTCCAATTCCATTAATTCACGTATTTGACTAATTTTGTAATATTTATTTTTAATTTCAAAAAGGCTCATGAATAAATAGATAGAAAATCGTTAAAAAAATTGCTATCTGAGTTGGAGCTCTGCAGAGCCGGCCAGATGACAATACCTTCATCAAAAAATATAAGCTCTGCCTGTGCCCCAAAAATTTCCTACCTATTCTATTTTTTACCTGGTTGAAATCACAATTAAAAAATGGATTTAAGAAATAAGATAAGTTCTTTAAAAAATAAGGTGGGACATATCTGTAATATATATAAAAGCCGTGTCACAACTTAAATCAAATTTAGCCAATAGTATTCTTTAAAAAATTATTCGTCCAATAAAAACCATCATACAAATGTTAAGCCAATAGTAATTATCATGTGATGCTAGATTATATATTTTATTTTAATATTTTTAATGGTGATGATTTTATATTATACCCAAGATACCTCACCAAAAGACGTTAAAGATATTGGTAATTTATGTTACAGATGATTTTATTTTAGTAAATGTTTCACATTGTATACTCAGTGTCAAGATACCTCAAATTTAGATTCATCGATAAATGGAAATCTATAAATTAAGAAATATAGCCTAGCCATTTACAGTGTCAAGATACCTCAAATTTAGATTCATCGATAAATGGAAATCTATAAATTAAGAAATATAGCCTAGCCATTTATCAGAGGGTTATGATTTAGATTTCACAGTATCAATGTTTAAATTATCAAATATATAATCTTACAATAAAGATCTTATTGAAGAATGGATCCATGTCATGAGAAGATGCAAACTTACTCAAAACTCTGAAGAAAAATTTATCAAGGAGTGCTTTGTGCCTTCTATTATCAAACACCATTAAGGAATAATCCAATCCCACAATCTTATAAATATTTGAATTTTTTACGATATCTTTTAATAAGATAATTTTTATGCATAAGTAAACATTTGCATTTATATGATTACTAGCTGATATATCATCAAGATTGACAAAGAATTAGAATTTTCTCCTTAATTTGATGATGGATGAATCAAAAATCCCTTTTATTGATGAACAAATCAGAAAATAAATAACTATTTATATTTCTAGGGAGTTGTTAAATTAAACACCATGCTTTATGAATTATCGCTTTTATGAAATATCATAGGTCTGTAATTTTGCAACTCAGTAAATCAATGTAATTGTTATCATGGAAGCAAATTTTGGTTTTGTTATTAAGAATATTTCTTTTAAAATTTGCCTCAATGAAATTTAAGATCTTATACGAAATTATAAGTGAGAAGTATGAAAACTATCACGTCTGGATGTAAAAAAATTGTTAAAAGAATTGATAAATCCAATTATTTCTTTATTAGATAAAATTCATATAACTCACAAATCATATATTTTATATTCCATATTTTCATAATATATTTGGCCTTTTCTCTAAAAATTTATAGAAATCTTGGCAGAATGAATAAGGATACTATTCTTCTCATCTGACTATTGATTAAAGACAAGATTCTTTTAACTTTGACATTATGAGTTGATATAGAAAAAAAATGAAGCTAATAGCAGTTCACTACATTGTTTAATGATTGGAATATAAGTGAAATCAGACCAATTTTTGGTGAAGAGCATATTTGTATATTCAACACATCAGATTTATTAGTAACAAACAATTTAAAGTGGCAAAATTGGTTGAACAACTTTGACTCATTTAAAGAGACATTTTTTTTATATCATAGACTTTTCTAAATCTGACTACTTATGAATATTTTTAATTTCTATTCATTGGAAACATTCAAATTTAAAGGTTTTGGCTAAAGAGCAAAATATAAAGCTATCTCTTTATACATTAAATTAATAAACTTTCATTGCATCTATTTAAATTTTTTTGTCCATTTTTAATATTTGTTTCAAATATTGCTTTTACTTTTAATAGATTTTTTCAAAATCTTTCTTTCTTTTAACAAATATTTTAATGATTTAAAATGGTTTAACATTTCAGTTTTAAAAAAAATTTAAGAAAATATAGTAATTAATATATATTTAGAATATCCGTAAAATTTACTATCTAGATGTACATATATCAATAATATTATTTAGTTTTAAAAAAAATTAATTAAAAATATATTATAAAATAAAATTTGCAGTTTGATAATTAAAATATATCTACATTTTTATTGAGTTTTCACATTATTATTTCAAAAAATTATTTTTTTTATAAATATTTCAGTATTTTTAGCAATAGAGGAAATAACTCACTTTAAGTTTAGATAAGATGTTAAGCGTATTAAAACAAGGGAAATTTAAGATCGGTATTGTTATATTTTAATTTAGAACTAAAATGACAATTTTTTAGAGTTGTAATATAAAGCAGATAAAATGAATGAAAGAATTTTTTTCGATAACGTTAGCTAAAATATACTATTTTTAATAAATATATATCAAAATCACAAATATAATTAATAAAGAAATATAAATTCATATGTTATTTTTTTTTAAATTCATTTCGCGGAGAGGTTATTTCGTTAAATTAAGTAATTTAATGTTTAAAACCCTTTTATAATATCAATGGATTTTCTTTAAAAATCGTATACAAAATTAATAAAATCTATTATTTATTACGCAGTATTCTTATTTATATTTAAAAATATAATTTTAGACGACGGGCTCTTTAAAAATATTATATCGTCCCATCATATTCTTTGATGATAATGATTTATTAACAATATAAGAATAACCTGATTAAATAGGATTATTGTATTAAAAACGCAAGTGTAAATCATATATTCGACAAAAGGATAATAAATATAATATTTCAACAGAAATTAAAACAACAAGTGATTTATGGTTAAATATAGTAAGTGTATAAACATAGTTATAGTATAGATTAGAGATGTGCAAAGTTAGGCCCGGCCCGTACCCCAATTTTATTTAAAATAAACGGGTTCGGGCCGGGCCTAATATTTTTTAAAAAAAATCGGGCCAGGTCGGGTCGGATTTTGGAAATTTTTTTAAATATATCTAAATTTATCAATTTTACTTTGAATTTTTTATGTAAAATAAAAATATTTGATTTTATTTATTGAAACTAAACGACATATAACATATGTCTTTTATTTTAAGTAATTATAAAAATTAATTTCTATATTTAAATAAATTCGGGCCGAGCCGGCAAAACTTTTTTAAAGAAACTTCGGGTTAGGGCCGGCAAAACTTTTATAAAAAAAATTGGCCGGGCTTGAAAAATTAGGCCCGATGCAGATCACTAGTATAGATTATTGAATATACATTTAAATGGTATATATTAAACGAATTAGGAATATGTATATGGTGAATTCAATATCAAATCAACCAAGGTTTCAACCCGACTCCTTTCAATTTTTCTTAAATTTTGCATACTGATAGTATATACTAAAACTAAGAAAAAAATGACTTCCAACACTGTTTACCCGCTAAGATATGGACGTTTAAAGCGCGGAAAATAGTACATTTTTGACAAAATGCACTTCATTAATTTTCAAATATCTTTAGAAATAATTGTGTTAAATTATGTAGCTTAATAATAGTTCTTTAATATGACATAAAAATAAATATAATAGAAATCTGATTAATAACGGAAACCGGATGAATTAAACCGAAAATGGCCATAGAAAAAAAAAGTATTTTTTTCAAAATATTTTTCCTGAAGATAGATATCACACTGCTTTATATTTGTACAAAATCCTAGACTGGGATGAACATGGGTTTAGGAGTTATGACTCTTTATATAGCTAAAATTGATCAAATTTAGCAAAAATATCATCATATTTAAAATGAGTAGTAATGAAAAAATGTTTATTTAAAAATTATGTCTAAATGATAATTTTTTTTATTTTTATCAAAATTTTTGAGAGGTTGCTTGGATTATGTGCTTTATTTAACACTAGTTAAATTTCGTCTCAAAATTACTTTGCCAAATCTGTTAAATATTTTATTTAGCATAAAATAATCTACTAAAATTAAAATTCAACAATAAATTTTGCCCCGTATCTTCAAAATTAAAAGTAAGTATATTATTTGACGCAAATTCTATAGATTATATACCATTAAAAGTTGATCGAACTAACCTCGAAACACTTATAATCAGCCGACGAATTTGTAAATTATTTAATTGAAAGATTAAACAATTTGGTTCCACATTCGTTTATAGCTTTCACAATAATCAATAATTCGAAACTTTCTAAAATTCAATTTAAATTTTGGATAATTCTTGGATATTGAGGATTTTTCAGAAAACTAGGCACTTGTAGTGCAGAACCATGCACAAGGATTTAATTGGAACAATAACTTCCAAATTTTATTATTTATTACCGTGAAGACAACATAATAAAACATGTATATTTAGTGGTTATATCAGATTATTTAAAGCACAACGCATGTGCATTTTATTTATTTCAAATAAAATTGATCCTTCTTGAAATAAAGATTTGATAAAGTGGCTAAAATTTATTATTTTTCTGATGGGGCAGTAACCCTAAAAAAAAATAAAAAAGACTTCATTAATCTCTACAATCATGAAAATGATTTTGGGATAAAGGGTGAGTGACATTTTTTGAAACCGCAAAAGGTAAAAGTCCCAGCGATAGTTTAGGAGGCGTTAGGTTAGCAGCTCGAGCAAGCTTGCAAAGCCCATATGAACATCACATATTGACAACAATAGATCTATTTAACCATACAAGAAATAATATCCATGGGGCGAATTATATATTTGTGAGAAATAATTAATATATTAAAAAAGAAAATCATCTTGAAAGCAGGTTTTTGAGAGCAAAAATAAATTCTGGAACACAAAAGTTCCATGCTTTTATTCCTTTAGGCGAAAACAAAAGTCAAAATTTATTCAAATTCTTTGGATGATTTAATATATCATATATTTTAAATATAAATTTTTGATTATATTATATTTAATTATACAATTTGAGGCAAATAAAGTTATAAATTTATGTGGAATTATTTTGTCAAGTAATTTTGAGACAAAA